GTCTAAAGGTACCTTAACCTAGGCAGTTCTGCACAAACTATACCTTATTCGGAAGCTTGCGATGAGGCCCACAAGCTGGCAAAAGGACAGGTCCTGAAACCCAGCAGTTGCGGAGAAAATTTAAGATTTAGCGGATCAATGCCAGTAGTACCCCTATGTGCAGTCAGTCTATACAGCAATGCCTGCAAGCGCCCGCGACACGAACTTCGTGTATCGCGGTCTAAAGGTACCTTAACCTGGGCAGTTCTGCACAAACTATACTTTGTTCGGAAGCGTGTCATGAGGCCCACAAGCTCGCAAAAGGACAGGTCCTGAAAACCAGCAGTTGCGAAGAAAATTCAAGATTTAACGCATCCATGGCAGTAGTACCCCTATTTGCAGTCAGTCTATACAGCAATGCTTGCAAGCGCCCGCGACACGAACTTCGTATATCGCGGTCTCAAGGTACCTTAACCTGGGCAGTTCTGCACAAACTATACCTTGTTCGGAAGCTTGTGATAAGGCCCACAAGCTGGCAAAAGGACAGGTCCTGAAACCCAGTAGTTGCGGAAAAAATTTAAGATTTAGCGCATCAATGCCAGTAGTACCCCTATGTGCAGTCAGTCTATACAGCAATGCCTTCAAGCGCCCGCGACACGGACTTCGTATATCGCGGTCTAAAGGTACCTTAACCTGGGAAATTCTGCACAAACTATACCTTGTTCGGAAGCTTGCGATGAGGCCCACAAGCTGGCAAAAGGACAGGTCCTGATACCCAGCAGTTGCGGAGAGAATTTAAGATTTAGCGCATCAATGCCAGTGGTTCCCCTATGTGCAGTCAGTCTATACAGCAATGCCTGCAAGCGCCCGCGACACGAACTTCGTATATCGCGGTCTAAAGGTACCTTAACCTGGGCAGTTCTGCACAAACTATACCTTGTTCGGAAGCTTGCGATGAGGCCCACAAGCTGGCAAAAGGACAGGTCCTGATACCCAGCAGTTGCGGAGAAATTCAAGATTTAGCGCCTCAATGCCAGTAGTACCCCTATGTGCAGTCTGTCTTAACAGCAATGTCTGCAAGCGCCTGAGACACGAACTTCGTATATCGCGGTCTAAAGGTACCTTAACCTGGGCAGTTCTGCAAAAACTATTCTTGTTCGGAAGCTTGTGATGAGGCCCACCAGCTGGGAAAAAGAACAGATCCTGAAACCCAGCAGTTGCGGAGAAAATTCAAGATTTAGCGCATCAATGCCAGTAGTACCCCTATGTGCAGTCAGTCTATACAGCAATGGCTGCAAGCTCCCGCGACACGAACTTCGTATATCGCGGTCTAAAGGTACCTTAACCTGGGCAGTTCTGCACAAACTCTACCTTGTTCGGAAGCTTGTAATGAGGCCCACAAGCTGGCAAAAGGACAGGTCCTGAAACCCAGCAGTTACGGAGAAAATTCAAGATTTAGCGCATCAATGCCAGTAGTACCCCTATGTGCAGTCCGTCTATACAGCAATGCCTTCAAGCGCCCGCGACACGAACTTCGTATATCGCGGTCTAAAGGTACCTTAACCTGGGAAGTTCTGCACAAACTATACCTTGTTCGGAAGCTTGTGATGAGGCCCACAAGCTGGCGAAAGGACAGGTCCTGAAACCCAGCAGTTGCGGAGAAAATTAAGATTTAGCGCATCAATTCCAGTAGTACCTCTATGTGTAGTCTGTCTATATACAGCAATGCGTGCAAGCGCCGACCACCGTTGGAAAAACCTAACTATTTTCAACTACTGCTCCAAATTTACGAATTTTTTTTTCAGTCCAAATTTTGTTTGCTATTGGTTACATGATCATGAACGGGTGCAGGCCAGTTAGACCCTGGTTAGACTGGTTCCATTACCTTACAATTTTCCGGCATCTATAAATTGATCCATTTCATCTTTAGTGGAGTCAAGGAACCAGACTGCTTGAACATTTTTGTTTTTCTTGGTTTTTCCAGTATTTTCGAACACAAAAACTTCAAACATGTCAGTGTAATAATATTTGATCTGTTATACTAACCCCTCCAATAGTTCATTTCTGAAAATTACAGCAAAAGCCAATGATGTACATTCCCTTTAACGATGGAACAAATTCATTCCAATAAATCCTAAGCCGGAAATTCCTATTTCTGATGAAAAATGTTTGTTTTGCCTGAATTTTAGCCTCAGTATGAAATTAATTGGGCTGAAACTGTTTCAATACCAATTTATTCGGGGCGCTTATAAAATAAACTTTGAAAGTCATTTCACCCTCCTATCCATTCAGATCTGAATACTTTTGTAATTAACGATGGAACAATATCGTTTGAAAATACGGCTTTCCGTTTCAATCAATGTCAATAGCTGGCAAAAAGCATGATCTCCGTCTTATTATTAAATTAATTGGGCTGTGCTTTTTAACGAACAGATTTTCTCGGTGCGCTTATAAAATCTTTGTTGATCATCTCTTTGAAGGATTGTTAAAAAAATGAAATTTCTGTCATTAACGATGGAACAAATTCATTCCAAAGCCGGAAATCCGTATTTCGGATGAAAAATGTTTGTGTTGCCTCAATTTTAGCCTCAGTATGAAATTAATTGGGCTGACACTGTTTCAGTTCGGATTTATTCGGGGCACGATTACAATACACTTTGGATGTCCCTTAACCCGTGTATGTAATTGGAACGGGACATTTCGGACATTTAGGATGGTACAAAATCATTTCAAATGGGATATCCGTATTTTCATTGGAAAACCGTTGTTTAGTATCGTAATTATCAATCGTCGGATCAATTTAATTGGGCTGACACTGTTTCAATGCCGATTTATTCGGGGCGCGAACAGAATACACTTTGAATGTCCCTTAACCCTTGTATGCAATTGGAACGGGACATTTCGGACATTTAGGATAGTACAAAATCATGTCTAAATGGGATATCCGTATTTTCTTTGGAAAACGGCTGTTTTGTTTCGTAATTATCAATCGTCGGATGAATTTAATTAGGCTGACACTGTTTCAATGCCGATTTATTCGGGGCGCGAATACAATACACATTGGATGTCCCTTAACCCCCGTATGCAATTGGAACGGGATATTTCGGACATTTAGGATGGTACAGAATCATTTCAAAATGGGATATCCGTATTTTCTTTGGAAAACTGCTGTTTTGTTTCGTAATTATCAATCGTTGAATTAATTTAATTGGGCTGACTCTGTTTCAATACCAATTTATTCGGGGCGCAAATGGAATACACTTTGGATGTCCCTTAACCCGTGTATGCAATTGGAACGGGACATTTCGGACATGTAGGATGGTACAAAAACATTTCAAAATGGGATACCCGTATTTTCTTTGGAAAACCGTTGTTTTGTATCGTAATTATCAATCGTCGGATCAATTTAATTGGGCTGACACTGTTTCAATGCCGATTTATTCGGGGCGCGAATAGAATACACTTTGGATGTCCTTAACCCGTGTATGTAATTGGAACGGGAAATTTCGGACATTTAGGAATTAGAATGAAACAAAATCATTTCAAAATGGGATATCCGTATGTTATTTGGAAAACCGGTCTTTTGTATCGTAATTATCAACTGTCGGATTAATTTAATTGGGCTTACTCTGTTTCAATACCGATTTATTCGGGGCGCGAATAGAATACACTTTGAGAGTCACTCAACCCGTGTATACCATTGGAACGGGACATTTCAGACATTTAGGAAGGTACAAAATCATTTGAAAATAGGATATCCGTATTTTCTTTGGAAAACGGCTGTTTTGTACGTTAATTATCAATCGTCGGATTAATTTAATTGGGCTGACACTGTTTCAATACCGATTTATTCGGGGCGCAAATAGAATACACTTGGGATGTCCCTTAACCCGTGTATGCCATTGGAACGGGACATTTCAGACATTTAGGAAGGTACAAAATCATTTCAAAATAGGATACCCGTATTTTCTTTGGAAAACGGCTGTTTTGTACGTTAGTTATCAATCGTCGAATTAATTTAATGGGGCTGACTCTGTTTCAATACCAATTTATTCGGGGCGCAAATAGAATACACTTTGGATGTCCTTTAACCCGTGTATGCCATTGGAACGGGACATTTCGGACATTTAGGATGGTACAAAATCATTTCAAAATGGGATATCCGTATTTTCTTTGGAAAACGGCTGTTTTGTACGTTAATTATCAATCGTTGGATTAATTTAATTGGGCTGACTCTGTTTCAATACCGATTTATTCGGGGCGCGAATAGAATACACTTTGGATGTCCCTTAACCCGTGTATGCAATTGGAACGGGACATTTCTGGCATTTAGGAGGGTACAAAATCATTTTACATTTATTATAATACCTGCGTACGTACGTGTCAAAAAAGTATCGTAGAGGGCGCTAAACAACCATGTAGTTTGGGAAAAGAAAATCGCGGCCGGTTCCTGTTTAAACAGGATTCTCATGCCTGGGACCCGGTCCTTTCCGCAACGCAACACTACTCATTACAAGGAGTAGTCTGGCGGATATAGCGCCCTCTCATCGGCTATAAGGCAGAACCTTAATTCAGTAACGTTAACATTTATAACATTAACATTCCCGATTCTGAAAATATATTGCCACAGTCTTCATTACAATTTACTTTAGAGTCGAATAAACAACAGTTTCAGTTATTTAAGGTAATCCACCGTGATAAGAAGTTGAACTTCCTTTATAATTCGTTTTCTCCTAAGGTATATTTGCAATGACTGTTTAGGGCCACCGTAGTGGCAATCTTCGCGGCGGCGCGCCACCGTAAAAATAGTGCCTAGCCGAAAATCCGGCCCGATTTTCGTGCCAAGATCAGCCTGGTAAATTTGGCGTTTTGGATTTGTCGACAGCTAGCTCTGCAAAAAGACTGAGAACTGCTGCGATGTATATTTCTTGAATGTTCAAAGAAGTCTGGGTACCTAGCTAAAAATTCAACCTCGTTTTCATATCGATAGCAACAGCGAAGTGAACCCAATTTCGACCACTGCGAAATCCCTTCGGGTAAGAGGTTGACTGAAAGCCGGAAGGGGAGGATAGGCGGAGGCTTTTTGAGCCCGACTTGGTTGGATTTTGCTGCAAATCCACAATCAAAGTCATCCATCATGGACAGCCAGGGAAGAAAAGTGATAGTTTGTGATAACGGTACAGGAGTAAGTATTCTTCTATACTTTTCATATATTTGGCTTTTTAAGTTTTCTGAATTTGACAATTTTAGAGTTGAAAAAGGGATGAATGTGCCAAGGAAAATGAAACAGGAAGTAAAAATACATTTTAAGATAAATGCATTTTTTTCTTAAAACTTGAACACAATAACCATGTTCTCATCATCCATTTCATAATAAAGCTAGTTGGAAAGAATATAGTATCCTGACGCCACCTCTGTGGTTAATTGTGTGCAAAGTCTTGAGTGCATTTTCAAAGTATTTTTTTAAACAAAATTGGAGTTCTTTCTCAGTCCCTAATTCGGTAATCCTTACTTCTAGGCCATAGGCCTAGGCCTATTCAACATTTTTTGCAATGACTGACCTTTAATTGAGATAATTTAATAATATATGATGAAAAAAGTTGTGACAGGATGCAACAGTCTTTTCAGCTAGTTTATGATTATGATGCTCATGATGATCTGGGGGTCAGACAAGTCGACCGTTGAGACAACTCGACTCGGGACAAGTCGACCGTTGAGACAACTCAACCGTTGAGACAACTCGACTGGATGTGCGATAAATGGAAAGACAAGTCAACCGTTTTTTCTGTTGCATATGACAAAGCCGATATAGCGCAGCGTGATTGTCCGTGCACACCGTTCGTTTTTTTCCGGGCCACGTGCGCGCATCCCCGGTCAACGTGGCCGTACCGTGCACGGTGGCATCGTTTTTGCCGGGCCTGTGCGCCCATTTGCCGGTCCAACTTGTCCGTACCGTGCACGGTGACATCGTTTGTGCCGGGCCTGTGCGCCCGGCACTTGCCGCGCCGGTCGACGTGCCCGCGTGCCGGGCCCGGTCCTCGCGGCCGGGCGGGCCGGGGCGCACCGGCCCGACGCGACGGCCACCGGATCGGAGCGCCCTCTGTACATTGAGTATGCCCGCACCGCGCCTGTGATCGGTCTTACCACAGATTTGTGCAACTCTTCCTGATCCACATGTATTCATTTCCATTAAGTCGAGCAGTCTCAACGGTCGAGTTGTCCCGAGTCGAGTTGTCTCAACGGTCGACCTGTCTCAACGGTCGAGTTGTCTCAACGGTCGAGTTGTCTGACATTCGATGATCTCCTCACTGAGATAGGCCTACATCTTTTGGAAAGAAGAATTTTGCATCCTGATGGCACTTTTTTTGGAAAGATTCCCATATCTGGCCATCACTTGTCACCTTGTGCACAAACCGTATGAGACTGGTCTGAAAATTTCAGAGTGTTTTCGCAGTAAATACTTCTATATTTTCCCTGCTAAATTTGACTTTTTATGACATACTTTCTGATGGCTGATAGGTCACTGAAGAGAAAAATTAGTGATGGCCAGATATGGGAATCTTTCCCCTTTTTTTAATCATAATCTCATTCATTCTCAGTCATGTCAGTGAAGCCGTCAGTCATTGCAAAAATGTTGAAAATACTGGCCCCACTAGTCTGGCGAATAGCTTCGCTGTACCAATGCCACACGGCCGGCTTCCCACGGTTTGAGGAAATGGTCAACCTTTGTCATGTTTGTCAAATGTTTGTGTGCACGTAGACCGGTAAATGTGGTATCAATAACAACGTTCTAACAACGCTGTAAATTCACTCGAAATTGTCCGGCGGCACGTCATTTTGCCAGTATTATATGTACTAACATGACTTAGATACAAAGCTTTCTGTAAATTCACGCGAGTGTAGGATCTTGCATTGCCAAGAAATTTGAGAGGAAAAAATGACCTTGACACAACAACAAACAAACGTGCAAGCACAACGTTTGATTTTCTGAGGTCACGCACGGTACGCTGGTACTCCGCGTCATGCACGCGTGAAATGGTTGGAGCCGTCCGGGTACCCATGCAATCTCATGCGTCGAGTGTTTCTATACAACTCTGGAGCGTGGCCATGTATATAGCCACGTTCATGGGTCTAGTGCGCACGGAATATGCTATAATAACTTTACATACAGTTGTATTCTATGATCATGAGGATGTCTCTTTTTGGGCTCCGGGTTGATTAGGTAATCTTACCTCCTATTTATTGCACTCGTACAACGTCTGTTGATGGCAGCCATTTTATTAATGTAAGAAGCGAGAAGCAAGCTGTGACGTCGTGTTATGCATATCGATCTTCTCGCTCTGGCCGTGCGAGTTGCAATGCGACGACTGTTACATGTAGTTCCTGATTTGTTTGAATGGCAAATCAGTGCCGTCATGTGGACAGTGCCCGTTTAGCAGTTTGGAAAGCACATTTTGTACCCCAAATGCAGTAAAATTTGCCTTACACAAAGTCAGCACCCTCATTTTATCTTGACCAAGGATATGCTTTATTTTGGCTGATGGTTGATCCCTTGAAATAATGCCCAGGTGGCAAGGGATGAGGTACAAATATGAATATTACTTAATATACTCAATTTTGATTATATATCCTCTTTCCTTCCAACAGTTTGTGAAGTGTGGATATGCAGGGTCCAACTTCCCCGCCCATATCTTTCCATCTCTCATTGGAAGGCCCATCATCAGATCCACGGCCAAAGTGGGAGACATAGAAATAAAGGTATTGTATACATGTATGCTGCCAGGACAAAACCAACCACTGGTGGAATGCACAGCCACGTTCAATTTTTATTTATTAATTTTTTTTTTACATTTTTATAAAGTAGACACACTTGCTCAGCATTTCTATAAACAGAAAGTTGCATTTAAAAAAAAAAAAAAAACATTTTCGGTTATTTGTCGTAATAAGCAGAATCTCGCTGTAGGTCTCTTCAACTGGTGGCTTTTTAAAAGGAGATGAGAAGGATGTTACTAACTACCCCAAATGAACTGGAATTTCTAAGCCCCAATTGATGTCGACCGCTATAATGTAAATGTAGTGCATCTTAGAATTTTCAAAGTATCTAAAAAATGTGTAATTGATCTTTTTCATGAGCAATTTGTGCACACTGCCAACACCCCTCTTCCTTGACAGGTTATCATGCAAACTTATTATATGCAAACGTGCCAACTAATCCCTTCTCTTGCAATTATTCTTTTCCTCTCTGTTGTTCACATCTAACTGCAGCTTCAGGTAGGAGTTATTGCCACTTATTACTTTTTGTTTTGCCCTTTTCTTGGTGTAATCTCATTGTGTTGTTGTGACTTTAAGTGAGTTGTAGCGTTATTCTGCTGTGAATGTTCCCATACAAAGCGAGTCATGAATGCAGGTAGCAAGCATCTTTTGTTTTATTATCGACTACTGATTCACTTCCAATGCCACATTGGTGTAGTTGTACACGTATGTACATGTAGTTTTGCCTGATCTGTGTCACTCACAGTCGTGAATGTGAACATTTTTGTGTTGCAAGTGAATTGCTGTAAAGCAGACTTGTCCAGACAAATTTTTGTCACCCATTTCCAAAATCATTGCAGAAATCTCACAATAAAGTGTATTTTGGGGTCTTTGAATAAGTACACAGTCATGATAGTATAACTGTGTGGAAAAATAATAGCAATAAATTATCATACTGAGGAAGACTGAATTCTGCTCATGTACATGTAGGTGGCCCATTATGGGTACTTGAAGCACGACAATTACTCAATAGTAACATGTACTGTTGCCATCCGTCCGCAAGTTATTGGAATTCCAGCATCTGACTTCCTGATTGCATTGGTGCTACCTGCATTCATGTTTCGTGCCAGTTTTTCCTGTTGTTGTCCACCCCCCCCCCACTTCATCCCATTCACCGACCTGAATTTCATGCACAGTTTTTTGAAATTCTTATTATTCTTGTGATAATAATCATTCAGTGTCATAGTACAATACAGCATATAAGAGATGATAGCATCCACTGTTCGACATGAAACTGTTGGTTTCGATTTCAATAGACTTGAGAAGAAAAAAAAAACCAATTCTCTTGTGGTTAAAAGTTGCTCATCACTGCAACCTTTCCCGAGCCCTAGCCTATATTTTGTCTCACTTTGACACTACAGTAAACTCCGGCTAAACCAGCACTCTCGGGACCTGAGAATTTGTGACGACCCCCAAAATGGACAGAGCGCATGCGTACAGCCTAGAGGGGGTACTGGTATTGATATGCTCACGATGCATATGATGTATGCAGTAGGACACCCTTTTTCGACACCGATGTATGCAGCGATCACGGGCCGTGCGAAACCACTTTTCACTCGACCCTTTGCCAACCGCAGTACAGGAAGTCGATGCCAATGCGTGATTTGTTGAATGCCGACTTACACAAAGGATTTTGTAATGCTTTTTATGGAAAGGGGACCGAGAGTAACACGACGACTTGAGCGAAATGGCGACTTATAAAAGCCAACTTAGAAATAAAAAATTCAATGGAAATGCATTACGGACAATCGGGACTTTAGTCAGACGGCCGACTTGAGCGATTTGACGAGTTGTACAAAAAATGTACGATGTCGGTTTAGCTGAAGTTTACTGTAGTTGGACGCTTTTTCACTTTTTCCACAGTTTTCATCAACATTGCACGTGCAAAGACACAGTTCTGCCTGAGCACTTCTAACACAAACTTGTCTGCACCTACTGAGTTTCATTTATTAATATTCCTTTCAGTCCACTTTTTTTGCTGTGTAATGTGAACATAAGAGAAGACCAACATAATCCTCAAACATTGTACGCATTCAGTGTTTAAATCTCATCTTTGTTGTTAGTTGTTCAGTATTCGCAGGCATCCCTCCCCCTCCCCCTCCCCAATTCTCATCCCTCATCCGACCATTTTGACATCTCAACTTGACGATTTAAGAAAAGGAACAGCAATGTTCAACATCACTCACAACAGTTACTGTCCTCATGTCTTTCTAAATCAAGGCTCTGACAAGAACAGCATTTCAGAATTAAAGGCATATAGGATCATTTGCATTTATCCCAAAAGTAATCTACTGAATTATTATTGAAACGCCTGCTTGGATTAAAGATCTCCGTGAAAGTATTCTGTTTTGTGTGCTGTCAGTTAGAAGATGTCAAGAAATGTCGGAGATTTCCAACAATCATCAATCATTGTCAATAAGCCATTTGCGAGTTACATTTGAATAAAATCTGGAACGCTGACTTAATCCAATGCTTTGCACGTTTTAACTTTGCATTCTCCCGACCAAAGAGACTGTTACTATATCACGTGATTCGGGGCAAGCCTTATGCTAGCAACCGCCAGCTCCGGTATGGTCTGGTGTCTTTGTGCCATCCTCTCCCATTGTGAACAATGTATTGGTGCTGAACGTCTCTTACGTAACTATGCAAGAGCTTGCCCCGAATCATGTGATAATCAACAGTGTCTTTGGTCTGGAGAATTCAAAGTTCAAATGTGCCAAGCATTCTGAGCAAGTCAGTGTACCAGATGTTTTTCAAATGTAAATCCCAAAGGGTATAGGTTACTCGCATATGGCTTATTAAGTGATTTTTGAAAATTAAGAGTGCAATAGACGAAACTGTGTTATTCATGATCAAATAGTTGTGCATGGTTTCTCACTATTTTCTGTAAAAGTGTAATAGCCACTGAGCTGAAAAATCCAAAGAGTACGTTTCTAATAGTTTTCTTTGGATTTGTGTGGTGGTGTTATTGAAAACGAACAAAATACATGAACAGCAAATGATCCTAGATGCCTTTAACACTCATATTTTTCAACATTACATAAGTATGCACATGCACTTCCTGGTAATTTTGTTTCTGTGGAGTAAAACCAAACCCGTTTCCTTGTGAATTGTTTATAATTACAGTGTGTTGTTTATACATGTATCTGTTAGTTTTGATAACAGATATTTGCCTTGATTTTACAAAATAACACAATTGTTGTCCTTCCTAACATATTAATAACCTTTTTTTGATAAACAAGGATATTCATTGCAATGGGAGAAAAAAATCACAGTTTGCTAGGAAGAGAATCCAAACTCGGTGCTTGCGACAAGATTTACCCAATTTACAATAAATACAGTAAAAACCAAAACGGGGCTGGACAGATGGACTCTTGTAATTTTAACAACTTTTAGGCCCCCTTCAAGTAATTTTTGGTACTTGCATCCTTACTCACATGTGAGTTATTTTGTAGTCCTATGCAGATTATACTTCTTAAATATGTTTTTGTGAAACGCCTGCTGCTCCATTAATTTTTTTTTTAGGTTTTTAAGCTTGACATTCCAGCTGAGCTGTCTGGTGGATATTTTTTTTTTGGGGGGGGGGGGGTTATACTTTGTTTGGTGGGAACCATATATTTCAGAAGTATAATCTGCATATTTCAGAAGTATAATCTGCATAGGAGTAAAAAATAACTGGGAACCAAGTTCACAGGTTCACTGCCCACAACTACTGAAACGTTAGTTTTCTCTTTGTAATCCCGATCAACCAATAGGATTTGATGGTAGGCGAGGAGGCCAGCCAATTGCGTTCCATGCTGGAGGTCACGTACCCCATGGAGAACGGCATCGTGCGCAACTGGGACGAGATGAAACACATCTGGGACTACACATTCGGCGAGGGCCGGATGAACATCAATCCGCGGGACTCCAAGATTCTCTTGACGGAACCGCCCATGAACCCCAACAAAAACAGGGAAAAAATGGTGGAGGTACAGTACGATTTTGAATTTTTAGAAATATGGTTCTAGTGTCACAATAACAAGAAAATAATGCCCTAGATTATTATACTGGCTCTTTCAGAATCAATTGATTTAAAATAAGCCGTGTGTACAGTGTGTAAAGATAAACAGTAATTTTCACTGTGTTGACTGATATGTACATTTTTAATGTATGTCCCCTTCCGTATTTGGTTTCTTAAAAAGTGATGTTGAAAAAATGAGGATTACTGGAACGATTCAACTAAGCCTATTCCTCACGCTTTCACATCCTACAAAACCCACAAGTCAGTGGTACTGTGTGTGTGGCTCGGCGCTCATTCAAAGTCATGAAAGTTGAAGAACAAATAATTTCCCATTGGTTTCCAGTACATGGAAGCATTTGAAATTCCAGAAAACAAATGGTAGCTTTTCCCACTAATCAGCATATTCACTCATTGTGTCTCTATTGTTTTTCAGGTCATGTTTGAGCACTACCAGTTCGCTGGCCTTTACGTTGCAATTCAGGCTGTCTTGACGCTGTATGCCCAAGGTAAGGGTGTTCAGTAAACTCCCCCCCCCAAAAAAATGACCCCCTCCCCCCCAAAGAAATGACAGCTGATGGGCTGTTCAGTCATGCCCAGAGGGCCAGCTAGTGTCTTCTTTGTACCCGACTGATTCACTGAATGACTCCCTGATTGACTGACTCACTGTCACTTTTGATTTAGACCGGTTACCTATCTCACTCACTGACTGTCACTTGTGACTTAAATTAACCCTCCTTTTGTTTGATCAGTCACAGTCAGAAATTCAATCCAGTTCCCCTGCCATGCCTTTTACACAGGCTAGTCACCAACAGTCAGGTCATATTTCTTGTCGGCACTGTGACAGTCAAAGTCCATCAACAGACAAAAGCAGGTGACTGGTAGGCACAGCTGGCTTATCAATCTCCTACAGTCAGAGCATACATGTAGCTTTATCAGGTTTCATAACAATCACAGCCAGTCAATCCTGCTTTATGAAGGCAGGGAGCACTCAACTGTTAAAAACAGCCATTTGATGTATTTTGACTGCTGGGCTGGCCTTGTTGAAATTCGGGCAATTCACAATGCAGTGCGCCACCAAGAGTTTGCCACGGAGAGTTCATTTTTCCCAGTGCATTGTGGGAGATGGTTGACAAATTTGCAGCGCCGGACATTTGAAATTGTTTGTTTTTCCAGTCGGGAGTTTCGTAAGCTTATGATGCGAGTATCTGTTTACCCTTTTCTTTTCTCTTTATCAATAATGGTGTTTTTTGTAAGGTGGCAGAATGCTATGCCCCAATCTATGAAAAATGAGCTCAGATTGTTTACAGACACTAATTCAAATGGGCCATGTTTTGTCGACTGTAAACTTGAAAAACTGACTCTCCATGGCAAACTCTTGGTGGCGCACTGCATCGTGAATCGCCCAAATTGCCAGCAAGAGGGAGGGTCACACAAGTCCAGGAGCAGCTTAACATGGCATGGCTATTCATGTATGTCATGGACCACCCACACCAAATGTACATTGGTCTGACACTCCTTGTTTCATGTAGCTTCATGATACGTGTGTAGGCAATAAGTCATTCTCTATGGGAACAGCGAACATGGATTTCTCAATTCCATTACGTTAACCGCCACCTTTTATTCTTCAAACGCGTTCGCTATTCCGACTCAAATGAATAGAAATGTGTGCAATCGGGGACCAGCTTTACTAGGTTTGCGTAGTATTGTTCTCACAATTGGCATTTAACATTTCCGCGTTGTCTATTGTATGCAGGTTTATTGACAGGCGTAGTGGTAGACTCTGGTGACGGAGTGACTCATGTTTGTCCAGTCTACGAGGGCTTCTCCTTGCCTCATCTAACAAGACGTCTAGACATAGCTGGCCGAGACATCACCAAATATCTCATCAAGGTAAACAGACTTGTCAGTCATCATCCTGATGTCGGGCGGAGTGTATTTTCTGAAAAGTAAAGTTACCACGGTCTTTTTCTCAAAATCACACAAACTCACAAAAGCGATTTCTTGCCACTTGGTGCAACAGCAGACTTACATGTATTCTTGTTAGTGACTTCACAGGCAAACCTTAAAATTTTGTCTGTAAACAACATCCATGTACCAGTGTTTCTTGTTAACTTCCCTTTGGTCAGATCTGCTTTAATTGCATTGCATCTGTTTTAATTGCATTGGTCCACAATAAGTAGCAGATGAAAAAGTTTCATATTTTAATTAGGACTGTCCCAGTGCATATTTCTAGAGCTTTACTGACATAAATCTTGGCACACTGCTCGTCAAGAAAACCACATTATTGGATGACAAAATAGAACACAGTTTTTCTTCCATAATTTAGCATGGAGAAGTCAATCAAATTTTTTTTTTATCAGAGCACAAGCATTCAAACTTGAGAAATGTGTTGATTTTTTCATCAGAACACAAACATACAAACTTGAGAAATGTGTTGATTTTTTCCATCAGAACACAAACATACAACTTGAGAAATGTGTTGATTTTTTTCATCACAACACAAACATACAAACTTGAGAAATGTGTTGATTTGTTTTCATCAGAGTACAAACATACAAACTTATGATGTGTTGATTTTTTTCATCGGAAGACAAACATACAAACTTGAGAAATGTGTTGATTTTTTTCATCACAACACAAACATTCAAACTTGAGAAATGTGTTGATTTTTTTCATCAGAACACAAACATACAACTTGAGAAATGTATTGATTTTTTTAATCAGAGTACAAACATACAACTTGAGAAATGTGTTGATTTTTTTCATCAGAACACAAACATACAAACTTGAAAAATGTGTTGCTGTTTGTGAGTCCTTCGCTCCAAAGATCTCAACTTAAGTCTCGGTCGAGTCCATAAGTACCTTGCTATCCTTGTGATATTAAATGTTCATCTTCATTGCAGCTGTTGCTTCTCAGGGGCAGGGAGTTGTGGCAGCAACATTAACATTCTCGATTCTTCTGATTCTGTAGCAACTGTAACACTGCAGTCTCTGTCCTACCATGTCACATTGTTAGCCTCTCAATTGTATCTGAAAATATTGCCTAGGAGCTGTGTGAAATTGGGTTGATAAGCCACAAGGATGAACTCTGATATTCTGACTACATCTTGGAGATCAGCATTAGTTGTCCTCTAAGAAGTTCTGAGTGGCATTGTCATCTTTCATGTTTCATTTCCCAGTTTTGCAGCATTTTTAATGTTTCTAACAGGCATGCAACTTTTATCGGATCCACTGATTTCCTCGTTTTTTACTCCTCATGAATGCCTTGAGATATGTGTTGATTTTTTTTCATCAGAACACAAACATACAACTTGCGAAATGTGTTGATTTTTTTTCATCATAACACAATCATTCAAACTTGAGAAATGTGTTGATTTTTTTCATCAGAACACAAACATACAAACTTGAGAAATGTATTGATTTTTTTCATCAGAACAAAAACATACAAACTTGAGAAATGTGGTGCTGTTCGTGAGTCCTTCGTTCCAAAGATAAGAGAAACTTCTATCTCAACTTAAGTCTTGGTCGAGTCCATGACTACCTTGCTATCCTTGTGATATTAAATGATCATCTTCATTGCAGCTGTTGCTTCTCAGGGGCTATGCCTTCAACCACTCGGCAGACTTTGAGACGGTCCGGATCATGAAGGAAAACCTTTGTTACGTAGGGTGAGTCACCAGTGATAAATCCCAACAGAAACTTGGGGCGTTTAGCCTACAAGTTGCACCTTTATTTGGTTGCCTTCAAGCTCGGTGTACTTTTCATCTTCCTCCCTTGAAAAACAAGAGGATTAGAAATCTGCCTTTGAAATATGCTGTTTTGTAGACAAGACAGTTTATAATTTTAGTCTAATCAGAAAACAAATTGACATTTGACAAACAATTTGGTCATGACAAATGCAGAAGATTACTTGCTGTTGGCAAATTTATCCAACTATACCATGTCTGCCCGAATCACATTTGTAGTGACGCTTGATTTCAAGGGATTCAATACTGTTTTGCCACAGTTGTAACATTGGCCAGTTGTAACCGCTGTTCAATTCCTTGCCTGTATGTGCAATCCAATGAAGCAATTCACACGGCAAAGCGTGAACATGTCAGGATTCACACGGCCTGGGAAAAAGCTGGAAAAGTCATGGAAAAGTTGTGGAATCTTTAGAGGACCAATTTATTTTAAATTGAAAACTTTGTATATTGGCAATTTAGCATCGGATATCTGACTTTTATACCCGACAAAATGCGACAAATTTCGCTGATTAGATACAAGCATTTTGATTTTGAAAAATCATTATTGCTTTGTTTTGTTGGTTTTCTGTTTCTGTTAATAGCACTTTTCACGAAACAAGTTTCATACTTTTGATCTGCATTTTGATGAATTGGGTCATGGGTTTCATAGTTTGGTCATGGAAAAGTCATAAAAAAGTCATGGAATTTTATTGTCCTACAGTGCACGAACCCTGACATGTGGAATTTGGCCAACTCAGCGTCGGCAGTTACAGGCTACCAAATGTCATTGAAAATGAAAGAATAGGAGTGTCTGAGAGGAAATTCATATAGAAATATTGCTGAACAGTCTAGGCATTAGACATTAGAAATGAAATTGTGAAAGGGCCACAGGGATGACTTAAAATTATCCGACAATTAATGAGGAATAATTTATTTTTTATCCTCTAAGAAGTTCTGAGTGGCTCGTTTTCACCTTTCTGCAGCTGGGAAGATTCATGACAACAAAGCCTCTTGTACAGGTGTTGCAAAGAAATTGTTTACTTTTTTTCCAGATATGATATTGAGCAAGAACAGAAGTTGGCAAATGAAACAACAGTACTGGTGGAAAACTACACGGTAAGTTGTTCAAGAAAATTAATTCCTGACTGAAATCCAGCCAAACATATTAATCCAAACCCCCTGGGCCCTTTTTGCTAGGATCCATCCTCAATCCTCCAAAATCCTCCACAACAGCACCGCCTCCCGAAATGCATTCAGCCTCAATCCTCCGAAATCCTCCTCTTCTTCAAACACCATTCAGCCTCAATCCTTCAAAATCAACCGGTACTGAATGCCCATGTGCCCCCAATCCTCCACAATCCTCCAAAATTGTATGCTGCATTCAGCCTAAATCCTCCAAAACCGCCCAGAGGACTTTGGAGGATTGAGGAAGGGTCAATTAGTCCTGCCGGTAAAAATAGGAAACTAGGACCTTTACAAGATGGTTGAATCGAGCTAAACCCTACCTCCCTATAGGACCGTGTCCATCCAAATCCATCACTGACTCGGCTTCACATCATGCTTCAGGACCCAATCCATTGAAATCCACCACAGGTGCTGGTGGATATTGATGGACTTAGCATTGATGGCATTGATGGCTTATCTGCCAAAAAAAAAATGGGGGGGGGGGGGCATTTTGATGGAGTTGGAATTCTCGATTCTTCTGATTCTGTATCCTACAATGTCACATTGTTAACCCCTCAATTTTATCTGAAAATATTGCTTAGGAGCTGCATGAATTTGGGCCCATTTCTGTTGATAAGCCACAAGGATGAACTCTGATATTCTGACTCTGTCGTGGAGATCAGCATTAGTTGTCCTCTAAGAAGTTCTGAGTGGCATTGTCATCTTTCATGTTTCATTTCCCAGGTTTGCAGCATGGTTTACCCGGGTTTTGCTCATGCATATGGAAATTCACATTATATAAAACCAAAAGAGACCTGAGAAAGACCCGAGATAGAAGTTTGAATATATATTGAAATTTAGCAAGGATGATATTCAAGAATTGCATTGAAACAAATCCATTTTACATTGGCCCTTAAAGGGAATATACAATTGCAAGCATCAAAAAAAGAAAACTACCTAATTATCATGAAATACCCTACTGGACTGTAAGTGAATGACAGTCTAAAGCATTATTCAAAATCATGGCACCTGGTGTGCTGTCACTTTCAAGAAAAGTGGTATTTTTGTATCATATTTTGAAGAAAAAAAAGCTTTTTTTTCCTCAAATACTCCCACCAATTTATCATATTTAGTTAGTCCGCATTTTGTTTGCAATCAATTACACACCTAAGAACAGGTACAAGCCAGCTAGACTGGTTCCCTGACCTTACAATTCCCTGACGTCTATAAATTGCTCCGTTTCATCTTACGTGGTGTCAAGGAACCAGACTACAGGAACATGATTGTTTTTCTTGGTGTTTCCAGCATCTACAAACACAAAACTTCTAACAAGTCAGTGTAACAATATTAGCTATAAAATACCAACCCCCCAAATCCATCCATTTCTGAAAATTACAGCTAAAGCAGATGTTATACATTTCCTTTAAAACTATGCCTTGTACTGTTTCCCATATCCCACAGTTACCAGACGGTCGAGTGATCAAGGTCGGCGGGGAGCGTTTCGGTGCCCCCGAGGCCCTCTTCCAACCCCATCTCATCAACGTGGAAGGTGTGGGCATTGCCGAGCTCCTCTTCAACACCATCCAGGCCGCTGACATCGACACCAGGCCTGAGTTCTACAAGCACATCGTGCTGTCCGGGGGTTCTACTATGTACCCTGGTCTACCCTCGCGACTGGAGAGAGAGATCAAGCAGCTGTACCTGGAGAGGATCCTGAAGGGCGACACGTCCAAGCTCAGTGTAAGTTGGGACAACTCCTGTGACAAGGATCCTAAATTTTATCTGAAAATATCGCTTAGGAGCAGCATGAAAATTGGGCCCATTTCTGTTAATAAGCCACAAGGATGAACTCAATATTCTGACTACATCTTGGAGATTAGCATTAGTTGTCCTCTAAGAAGTTCTGAGTGGCATTGTCATCTTAAACTGTTTTGTGCTGTCTCTGAGCGATTCCTGTTTGCTATTTCCCACATTTGCAGCATTTTTAATGTTTCCAGCATTGTGACTTGGGGTGTGATCCCTGGCTACATGGCATACATACAGGTTTATGGCTTCTGACTAGCGCCCCTTGAGCAAAAACATTGACAACATGGGGAACCGCCAACATGGGGCTGGATAGCTTAGTTGGTAGAGTACCGGAAAGGCAATCCGGAGGTTCCAGGTTCATACCCTTTCCAGTCAATGTCTGCGTTCAACTTTAAACAATTATAATGTTCCTTTTCAATTTCCCTTATAGTTTATTTGAGAAATATTATCTCGAGTGTAGAAAACTGTGAAGGCAAACTTGCTGAGTAATAGGCCTAAATATACCAAGGCTGGTACTAGAATTGTATTAACATTGGACAGTGTGACAGGGTGACCACTCAAAATCCACTCATATTTTGGAAGCTTGTTTTTAATAGAAATAATCTTTGTCCCATTTTTTTGTGAATTCTTGAAAAACATTCAATAATGAAAAACCAAATCTCTTATCTTTCTCTGCCGCAGAAATTCAAGATCCGCATTGAGGACCCCCCGCGCCGCAAGCACATGGTGTTCCTCGGGGGCGCTGTTCTAGCAGACATCATGAAGGACAAGGATACGTTCTGGATCTCGAGAGAAGAGTACCAGGAGAAAGGACTCAAGTGCCTTGAGAAGCTCGGCGTTAGTGTTAAATAGAGGTAGCCCCCCCCCACCCCCAACATCCCTCCACCCCTCCCCCCTCCCTTTCCTATCTCCCAGAGATGTCACGGCACTTTCAATAACATTTTTTTGTTTTACTTTTGGGTGTTAGATTTTGTCATACCAGAAAAAAAATGATGCCTTGCAGTGTTGTAGTTGCCATGGTTGCATCCATCACAAGTCCAGCACAAGTCCGGCCACAAGTAAATCACAAGTCCAGTTACAAGTAGCAATACTTTTGTTCCAGTTCCTTTGAGTAGCTTGCGAGTTGGCTTGAAGCTGGATGCCTTGTGATGGACTTGTTGGGATATGTGATGGACTTCATTGTTACTCAATTTGGATATTGATGTGAATGGATACCTTCAACGTTCGTAAGCCTCCTAAACAAGCCAGGTCATTTCACACTATTAACGGATGTATGTAGGATTTGAAGCGAGCAGGTCTCAGTTGAGTGTTTGTGCGGGCCTGTTTTAAGCCCATCACATCTCCAGCAAATGGAAAAGTACAAAGTTTGTCGCATGTTAGGAAAACTTCCCCAGCCAGTGAGAATCCATTATGTAGTTCCTAAATAAGATATGAATCTTGCATGGCGGTAATGTTAACTAGTGAGGGTTTGGGGTAACATCATGTGCAGAATCTCTTTTGAGCAGCAGTGTGGTTCCTTTTGGTACAATTACTGTAAGGAAATGTGAAGGAATAGTGATGATAGGACTACATCATGTGGCCATCAACAATTTGTGAAAAAGTGTGCAAGTTGTGCATATCGGCAGTCTTTACACAGTCCATTGCTTTGTCTAAAAGAAAGAGTGGTTTCTGGCCAATTTTATACCATAACGGAAGACTTGAAGACAAGTTACTACGCAGTCGTGTTTTGTCTGTCAAGGTTCCCAATATCGAAACATCTGATCTTTCAAAAAAGATGGGGTCAAATTATTTCCAAAGCGTCAGCTTCACATTATTTTTATTTTGTACAATTTGCTCTCAACTGACAATCTGTTTTTCTCTAGTCCTAGGACCCCTGTCTTTGTGGCTTTAAGTGTATACCTTTTGAGCTGGACTCGGGCATTTTGCTATTTAATTGGGTCCTTCTCAATGAACAATGATATGAAAACAAGGTGTGGAATTGCTGAGCTTAAAACTTGAAGAGGAGAGGAAAGGTTTTTTTTTTGTTATGTGCACTCTTGTATCGGTACATGTATATTAGAAGGCCAACTTTTTTTCTAAGGACTTTTTTCCTAAAGAAAAAAATTGATTTTATTTTGATATTGTAAGATTTTATCACAGTAATTATAATAGATGAGATGAGCAAAAGAAAATGTATTGGAATTGAATACAATTGAATTGGTCTGAGTTAGATGGTTTAAGAGAAAATCGGTGAAATTGAATAGTTTGATATTGTAATTTTCTTATTGTAGTTTATGAAGAAATCTTGTGAAGGCTATGCATGCTGTATCAAATAGCCAAGATAAGGCCGGTTCAGCAAACGCGGTCGCGAATGCGAATTTCTGACGGCAGGGCGATTGTTCGCGCTGCGATTTCGCAAAAGTTGAACACATTTCAACTCCGTCAGCGAATGCTTCATGACGTCAAATTCGCATCGCATTCGCATGAAGCATGAACGGGCCTAGAAATATAATATCCCTGTTAGGCATTTTTTGGCATGTTAAACCCAGTTGGCTTGTAAGTTGTCATTTTCACAAAACAATGCATGTGCCCAATCTGGTAGCATTTCTACCCTTATAACAACGTGACATGCATTACTTGAGTGCACTTGTAGGGTTGCGTGAAAGGTCACAAAATGTCTACCATTCAGCTACCAGTACCCATAGACATCTTATAGACCTAAACCGGCTATTTGCTTACAACTTCCGTGAGCAAAGTACTGCGTCTCATCGAAGGCACATGCACGCGAAAGGAATATCTGAAGAATAAATAGCAAGGAGACAGTCGTACGACGCGCGTGCATTATTTACAAGCAGAATGAGCCTTATTGTGCTAATAGAAACAAACAACGTAGAAGTATAAGTTGCTGGTCTAGTTTTTTTTTAAAGATGTCTATGCAGCTGCCCTGCAAACATGCAATGCTGCCCTCTTGTGGTTGGTCTTGCAAAGAATGAATGTTGACCTTTCTTTCCATACTGAGGAACAGAAATATCCACTCACAGTGCCTGTCTTTTGCAGGTTAGGACAGCTACGCAAGTACAGCCTTTCTGATTGGTCTGTAGCTTTATGAAGCCTTTTGTCTTGTCGGTTTGCTAAGTTTGAATGATTAACTTGATAATGCTTCCAATTTTAAATAGCAGTTTTTTTCCAAATACATGACTGCTAGTTGAATTATTACATGTATGTACAGACAAGAATCTTACAATGTGTACTTAGTTTATTTGGTTTGTTTTGGATCGTTATTTTATTGCGCTGATGAACAGGTGAAAGGGGGAATTTTTGGAGGTTTAATTTTTGGATGCATGTCATAATGAAACATGGAGAGTATTTATCCTATTAGGACTCTACAGATGCCCGTGTAGCGTGAATATCCGACTCCATGAAATATGGACTCATTGGTAGTATTGCGCATGCGTAAGTACGATAATATGCTATTTTTATGATCATATACATGTATGGCAGAGTGACCTGTCACATGCGAGGGATTATTTATACCAATAATAAGGAAAAGGAATCCGATTTTCATAGGAGTCGGATTTTCATGTGACACTGGACCATTTTATATTACCTGGATTAAGAGAATTTATTTGCGAATGTCTTATTTGCAGTAGTCACTAGTCTGTGTTTCATTCCATTTTTTTTGGTCATTTAGTTTGAAATATAGCTCATACCTGGCTTATGCTTATGTACAGAGATCTTAATCTACGTGCCCAGTTGTATTTAACGAATAAGTACAAAGAAAATGTGTTTATATTTCTTTACTAATAAATATTTAGGTGTTTGTATACATTTATTGAATGCTGATACAAACATGAAAATGATAGGCAGAATGTTATTAACAAATTATTGCGCCATGCTATTTTAGAAGAGATAGTAGTCTGCCCTAGAATTGTAGAGTAAATTTGTATCCCTTTGAAAACAATCTGGCCCAGGTTCAAACAAGATTACTGAATGAAATAGGAAGAGATGATACAAGTATTTAGGCACATTTATTGTTCATGAATCCACATTCCTCGATGTAAACTGGCCATGTTCCCCCCTGCGTCTTTCATAAGGATGTTCCTATTGAGGCACAGGTATCATGTATGGCGTAGCAAGCTTTGCATGATGTTATTACATTTTAGTTTCCGATGTTTTGGGGTTTATTCATCTTGTTGTAAAATGCCAGCTTAGGAGGAAGGCTGCAGCATACTTTATTATACCAATGGATAGCTTTGCCCCAAAAGGCTAAGGCTAGGCTTTGGTTTTTACATTGACATGCTACATTGAAAAAAGCCATAGTCATAGCCAAACATCAATTTGGGATGCAACTGAGGTCTTGAATGGCTTTCTATTTTTTCTCCTTCAAAATTACTTTTGCCCCTTAAAATGTTTTATATTATATCCATGCCGATAAAATACTTGATCAAATGTCCGTCTGTTCTTTTTTTATATAAAAAGAAAGGAAAATAAATATCTTTAAATTGCAATGCACACCATATTAAATAAAAACTTAATATGAAAAGTAATTATTGACTTCTGTGTTTCTTACAGATTCTGTCTCTGTCCTGCGTGTTTGTTTGTTTTCTTCACCAACTTCATGAAATATCCAGAATAATCTCACATATTTTACTTCTGAATCAGATGTTTAAATATGAAACCGCTTATCTTCAAAATTAATGTTCCCCATAAAAAAACTGATAATTTTTTTTTGTTTTGCAGCCATGTCACTTTGTTCCCTCTCAAACTACTTTCCTCCTTTTTTTGTTTTTTGTTTTGTTCCCGAAAGTGGGTCCAAACATTTTCCGCTCCAAATATAATGTGAAAAGCAAGGGGAGGGGTGTAAATATATAATTTTTATTGCTTTTGTTGAGTTTTGGGGGTTGTGTACGCAATGACTGCCTTCTTTGCCACGTTACTAAAAAAAAACCCAAATGGGTTCGTTCGTTGGAAACTTCAGTTATACTACCTTCTTGCAACTTTATGGCTTTAGAAATGGCAATTTGCAAGTTGTGCATTACTAAGATCTGGGTCAAACACTCAAACTCAAGTTGCCGTAATTACAATAAAGACCTCGTGTCATCAGCATTATAACTATAATTGCTAAGTTAAGGAGGTACTTCGGTTTATTGGAAGTGTGTCATCCTGCCTGCTTTGCGACACCAAAAAGAGTAAAAAAAATTCAGAGGGGGGAAAACAGTCTGTTACGAATCTTTGAGTAGGCCTAAATTCAATAATGGCTGTCTTATGTTTGCAGTGGATTACCGATCCCTGTGGTATTCTTGGAGTATGAAATTCCTGCTATAAACCATTTCTCAGCAGTTATAAAAGACACATCAACAGACTTGGGCAAGATTGAATGGTGACTGCTGTATGTTCCGACACCCCTATGTTCCGACAACCTAGATTGTGTTACTCCCGGTTAGGGTTAGGGTTAGGAATAGGAATATGTGCAGTCGGAACATTGGGGTGTCGGAACATAGAGGTGTAACCGATTGAATAACTTGGTCACTACAATACTGCCCTCAATGAATGCGCATACACCAAATAAGCAGTCAACAGATACTGGAAATGTACTTCAAAAATTAAGAGTATCACAGAGTCATATTGATATTACCCAACAGAATCGGACCAAAAAAGTCAGCAAAGCAGACACAACTGCGCCATATCTATCATAAAAATCTGACAGCTTTACAAAAGGAGAAGTTTGGTTCTCAGGCCAGACAACAAAGTCGCCATTCAGGCGTGGAACTTGGTAGTCACACTGTGCAACTTGGACTGGCGTCTACTAGGTTATTAACCCGGCTCCGAAGTGCCATTGGACTGTGGCCAATATTTGAACAATGGCTAAATATGTAATTTGCGTATTGACTCGGAACAGTTATGAGTATTATTAACTACCTATAGCTACTTCCTGTCGTTATTCATGAGTCTTGCTAAATGAGCCGTTTCTTTCTTTTCATATTTTTTTTTCACAAAAATGGGTCAACCCGAATATCAGTTTTTCCTAGGTTGATTGTGTGACAAAACAAGGAACATTGTTTGGAGAATCCCGATAATATTTTCAGTAGCTAACCTTCAACAGCATCGCGTTTTGTTCTACAGTATGTCCCCCAAAAAGTTTCTGTCTGGCTGCTTGTGAAATAACTAGAAAACCACGAAGTCAATTTTGATTTTTTTTATTGTGCAGATACTCCTTATCCTTGGCCTTAACCCCTACGAGTTTCATCTAATTTCCATTACGCCTCACTACAAAAAAGTAAATTTATCAAAACAACATTTTGGACACTGTTCAAGTTCCTTACCTTAATTAATCGATTTCAGTGCAGTGTTACGTAAGCTGTGTAAAATCCTGCAAAATTGTGAAAAAGGGTTGATGTGGTTGGCGATTGGAATCATTTGCCCTCAAGCATTAAACTGAAGTCTCGCCATAGCCAGGCAAATGCTTCCAATCCTTCACAACATGAAGGATTTTACACAGCTTACATAACACAGCACTGAAATTGATTGCGGCAAGGAACTTGGTCAGTGTCCAAAACATGTTGTGATCAATTGACAATTGGGCAGTGACTGTGAGGGAAGTTCAATGAAACTCATAGGGGTGTAGGGGTGGGGTGGGGTTTTTTTTGGGGGGGGGGGCGCTTTAAGAACTGAGATTTTGTCAAGTTCTTTACTTGAAAATAAATCTCAGCATTCTTAACCAGCATTCCTTTGATTTTGGCAAACGGGTCCTCAAATTTCAGTCCAGACATTCCGTTGCTTCCTCTACAACACATGATTACTTCACAACACAATCTGACCCAAAGTCAGAATATCTGTTCACGTCTCAAAAGCTCAGTAAATTTTATTTACTCATCCATATTGGCGGATACAACTATTACATCTATGCAAGGCATTATTGCATTTTAATTACATATTATACAAACAAATCCATTTTTCTTGGCTGCCGCAAAACCACAAACACAATTTTCTGGCACGGAAATAAAAAAACCTCTTGCAAAACAACAACTTGCCAGCTTCTCATATATACATGTAAATCTTGTATCAAAATTTTGAGTGTTCTATAATTCTTCTTCTTCAAAAAAGGAAATGCTTCAATAAACAATTCCAGTACATGAGTTGATTTTTTTTTAAAGAAAGAAAAAAAAACAAAAAAACACTCCTTGTTTTCCTAAATAATATTGACCCTGTTTGACACATGGTTACACTTAGCAAGCACACACACACAAATTAAAATCAAGCTGTACACAACGATTGTCTTTGGAGTAATAAGTAGAATGAGTTTTTTTAGTAGTAGTTTTTGCAAATATCTAAATTATATGCAGATCTGAAAATGCAAAATAGATGATTCGGTTCTTCTATACAACTGTAGGCCTACATAACATCTGTACATTTTAATGCAAGAGTTGTTTATGTATTAAAATAATCGGTGTTCTTTTCCGTTTTCCACTCCCCTTGCACATTTTATCACATTAAACTTTCTTCAACGAAATGCTACAAGCACTGTGAGCTCAGTGATTTTTGTTGAGAGCTTGTTTTACCTTTAACATAGATGAGCGGCAAAACTCGGTATTGAAATTCCATCCAAAGTTGTTGATTGTGGAACCTTCGGCTAAACTGGATTCGAACTGGCCAGTTGACCATGGAAAGCTTGGTAGCTGAGTGGCTAGGACCACAGCACTAGCAAGCAGGAGGTCATGGGTTGGAGTCCCACCAATGCAAGCTTGAGAAGTTTTGCTGACAATCTCTCAGAAAGCATGGATACACAGTGCTTATAACATGTGAAGAGCAACATCCAATGTTAAAACAATCCCAGCATGCTCCTCTGACCTTCCCTGTAGTCATTTATTACAAATAAACTGTCCAATAAGGGCACTCTAAAAATTAGCATGTACCGGCTGAATTTCACCGCACTGTGGGTGCTGTTGATACCAGTGAAATTACCCACTGGCCTTAATTTTCAATAAAATATAATATCCACTATAAAACAGTTGTTAAACTCATGGTCTAATAAACAGGGAAGTTAGTATCACCCAAAGGCAAGAGTTTTGCCTGTCGTAACATGTCCAATCAGTCAAATTAGTAATGATGTACTTTAATATACATCCTGTTACAATCCCTCGAAACCAAAAAAAGAAGTTTTGTAACTCTTCATTAACTGTTTAATAAGCTGAAAGTCCGATCAAGTTTTTGGCGACTTTGGAATACATGTGCCAATGCACCTATTACAAGAATTTTGCTTTTAACTGTTTAATGAAATTAATTACAAAAAGAAAATTATAAATCCATCTTAACAGGCCCTTCCCAATTAACCGAAATCTCCAGGTCGGATGCGGGTCGAAACTCAAGAATTTTCGGGGAACCCTCAAGCCTTCACTAGTACACTTGTCCAGGGCTCTACACTGGTAAAATTCAGCCCAGGGCCTAATTTTACAACGCTGCTTAACAGCCGATATTGTGCTTAGTGAGCCTCCGTCTATTTCATAGAGACTGTAAGCAGTAAGCGCAGCAAAAGCACGCTTAACCACAGAGGAAAAAGGCTCTCAAATCAGTGATGTAACAGAAATCTGCATGCGCGCACAACCGTTAGCACATCCATACCATGAAATAGCGCTTAAGCAGCAGCATGATTTTCCGCTATAGTAAGCACAACTTTTCTGTTAACTGTTAAGCAGTGCTATGAAATTTGGTCAGGTCCGGACCAGGGCTAAACATTACCATGTAAAAGCAAATGCACTAACATGTACAGTACACGAATAAACAAACAAACAAACAAACAAACAAACAAACTTAACAAATAATGCTGCTCTTGTCCAATTTCAAGTAAAGTTCCATAAATATTAATTTGTCATTTAAAGATAAAAAAAAAAAAAAAAAAAAAAAACCATACATGGCACTATCAAGTTTTCAAATATTTACAGATTACTATTTACAGGTTACGGAATAAGGTGGTTTCGATTGGAAAACATCAAGCATCTGAATACATTGGCATAATAATTATGATAAGAAAAAAAAAAGAGATCCTGTAACTATGTGGATATTTTTTATAGACTTTCTCATTGAATACCTTTTTTGATGGAAACTAACTCATATTAAAAAAAAATTAAAATAAATAAAAAAAAAATTAAAAAAAGAGTTAGTCCTGTATGAGCTGTAATGAGTTTTTCATTCATTATGCCAAAAGTGTGCCTACAGCGCTTGTTGCCTTTAACCAGTTCATGTCGGATGACGTGTATATATACGCAAAGGTTTTGCATGACAGATAAACACGCCAAGTGAGGCCGGACAAATCTGTCAGTGACCCGCTCGCAGCGAGCGAGGCCGGAAATATCAGGGTGTGCTACCAGCAGATGATGGCCTGGACATGTCTGGCATCGAGGTTTGTGAAAAAAAAAAAAATCCTGCGCCTGGGTTCGTTCAATGTCAAAATAAGACAGATACTCCTTTGTGATTTTGACATCATTGCAAGAGCTAGATTTTCAGCCCTTCTGAAAATCATCTGGATCACATTTAGTTCTGCCTACGGTAGGCAAAGAATCCTTGAAAATCCCAGAAATTTATGTTTATTTGACAGGTTAGCAAGGAACTCTTCCTGCGCAGATTGATAACTAAGGAATTAGACTGGCAACTTGACCTTGTCAAACATGTCTATTAGGACAGGCAATGTCATAACAATTCTCAAATCCTATTGGTCGCCGTGCCGATGCACCTTTAATCTGATTGGCCAGCTAATAACCAGCATCATGTCAATAGGAACACGGTGCACTTTTCATATGCAAATGGGTATTTAAATAAATTTGACCTCTTCGTTGCAGGTCATAAGGCCAAAGATGCGCTGTCTGATCTCAGACTTGTAATCACCATCTGCCGTTGTCAGACATGAGCCCGTTTAGACTTCTTAGGATAATGTGCTTAGACAGTAGATTTCTTGCAGGCACTGTAAGCACATAATGCTGATCACCAGCACAAAACTTTTTTAGTGGATAAAATTGTGCTAACCAAGCTCGCTGAATCAATATAAAGGCAACACTCTTGGTTTCGAAAATCAACTCATCTTATAACAGATGGATATCATCGAGCTTTTAAGAGCTTCTCGTAAATTCACATCGTGACCTCAGTTTTTCAAACCTGAGGTTCAACTTCACAGCTCTAGTAGCAACTTTGGCGGTGTTTTTTTTTAATTATTAAAAACCCCAAAGCAACCCTGTTTTCAAAACTCAATACTTCACTTTGTCGATTATAAACATAAGGAGTTGATGAAAGTTTACTACGAAATTTACAAACTTGAAAAAAAGTTTGCACTACCTAAAAACAAACCGAACATGACAGGAAATTGTCTTCATGATTTGTTTTTTGTCATGTCACGGTCACTGTAATTCAGAACAACTTTGGTTGCATCCTTAATACCACAAAAATACAAATTAAAAATGGAAAAAGTTTCATTATATTTTAAACTTGAACTAAATGAATTTCAATCTCAATTACAAGTTATGGAATTTACGGACACGAGCAATACAGAAACCTTGGTTCATGTTCCTACTCCCATAAAAACTTTATTATGATACAGTTATTAAGGGGAGCACATTTTCATGGGGTTATGCACAGACAATGTGTGCTTACCAAGAATAAGTTGCAAGCCAAACTATTATGCAGAGTTTTATTGCTTGTTAAACTGAATCAATTTCCCACTTGATTATTACGCAAATATGCTTAGCATTATTTTCTGCTTAAACCCCGTTCATACATCATGCGAATGCGAAGCGAATTTGACGTCATGAAACATTCATGCGAAATTCGTCGAGTTGAAATATAATATATATTTCAACTCGAATTATGTTGCCTCAGTGGCAGTGCAGACCATTCCATTATGCTAAAGTGTGATAGCGTTGTATAATAAACCTTTACGAATTCGCAGCGCGAATACTCCCCACGATGTCACAAATTCGCGTTCGCGTTCGCCTTCGCGCAGAGTACGAACCGGGCTTAACACCTTCCGGAAATTGGGTCCTGTTTACTTTCTTAACAGTTATGTAGAGGTTGGGAAGATTATAAGTGTTATTTTTCCCATACAAAATATAGAAGGGAAAATTCCCCCTCCCCCATCAAGACCTAAAAAAGTAAAAGAAAAAAGAGAAACCTACAATTAATTACATTTCTTAGCTATAAAAAAATACTCTGAATGAGATTCATCCCAGGTCCCCATCAGACAGGAACCGGTCTCACGTTCGTGTAATCGCTTAACCGCTTGACGTCCATCCCGACCTCCAGGTGGCTCTTGGCCGCCATATTGTCCTTAAAAATGGCCGAGTCTCGTATGGAGTCCCGGACCGAGTCGCGGACCGAGTCCCGGTTTGTGTTCTTAACGTCCACGTTCATGGTCTTGGCCGAGGGCGCTGTTGCCGTCGGCGGTGGGGGCTTCGTGGGGATGACCTTTGGGGGCGGGGCTCCCTTCTTGGTGACCTGGTAGAGGAGACGGTGGCGCCACCGGGTGACGTAGAGTAGCATGATGAGGATGATGCAGATGGCAAGGAATACGGCGAGCGTGGAGAAGATGACGGGAACCACGGGGAATGGCTTGGAGGAGTTGGACGAGGACTTGTTGTTCTCTTGAGTTGTTTTGGACGAGGAATCTAGGGGAAGAAAAAAAAATTAAAATCACATCGAATGATGCAACCTATAACAAGTTATTCTCAAAGAATTGTAGAGCACACAGTCACCTTGGTACTCCATAAGAGCCAAAGTCAGGCCTCACTTCTGGCTTTGGCTTCACCTCTGACTCCAGAGTCATTTTTTAAGAAGCCTTGTTGACAATACCTAACAGTATTACTCTATCCCTTGGGCTCATATACTAGGATTTGATGTTCCTGAAGCACAACATGACCCTACTTTAAGCCGGAGTGATGGGTGGGGTCTAAAATCTCCCAAGTCACAAAGCCTTACAGTCAAAGCCTTCAAGTCAAATTTGGTTTAAAAAAACCCCAATAGGTTCTGATCGTTTGACGTCAAATTAACACGTGACCATCCGGTTATGCCCTGGTTAGCAACCACTTTGGAAAGAATGCTGCATCCTGACGCCATTTTTTCATCAAATATCATCTCAATTTAGGTCAGTCATTGCAAATATGTTGAAAAGACACGAATCCCGGACTGAGAAACATTTCCAATTTTGTTGTGTTAGATCAACAGCCATCTATCTTGTACTTACCTATTGCATTTAAAACATGGTTGGGCATGATAGGCGTGAGTTGTGTATCTACATCATTACCAAGAAGAACTTCTGCAAGGAAAGACAACCCAAAATATAGAAATGAATTCATGTCACATGTACATAATACGCAGACACAATCACAAACACTGAATTTCTTAAGGCAGGTTTACGCATTTTGCTTTGGGGGGAAAAAGCCCCTCGAAACAGGCTCAATTTGTGTTTGATTTTTTTGTTATGATTTCAATGAATTCAATTCTAACTTGCACACAAAACTTACTGTCAGTTCTAAAAAGCTGACTGATCCAAAGAATTTGACACCTAAAAAAAAATGAAGGTTCTTTCAAAATTGGGTTTTACCCTTTCATCGACATAATTTCATACGCACAATGTTCTCAGTAATTTTCAAGAACCCTCAGCACTGAGGTATATAACACTGTACATTTAGATTACATACATAAATAACAAAACCCAATACTATTTTTCATCTCGAAGACTCAAAATTTCATCATAAAAAATCATACTTGAAGCTAAAATCTGTATCAGTGATCAGCCATTGGACTGGCTGTTAAAAAGGAAGTCATTTAATTGAGTGATTGTCTGAAATGCCCCTTACCATTATTATCAACAGCTGGTTTCTCTGTGTGCTTCGGTGTGTCATCTGGAAGCCAAACAAAATCAAATCAAGTATGGTCAGTTACAATCCACAATAAAAATGTGCGAGAAAAGTTGAATTTGGAATTAGTCAGGTAGTCACTAAAGTACAAGTTGTGAACAAAAAAAAATCAAACAAGCTATGAGCTTCTAAAAAGACCAAAGTGCGATCAAGCAAAATTGGGTACAATGTCTATTAGATTTATGTAAAAAAAAAAACTAAAATAAAGAAATCAGAACACAAAATAAGGCTTTTCTGCAACCATGCAGACAAGCCCCAAAAAACCTGTCCTTACTTGGACAACGGGGGCAGCATTCACCGGGCATAATGACGGAGTTGCTGCAGCTGGTGTTCGGACAGTCCGGTACCACGCATCCCGTCTTGCCTTTATCACACATGCAGTGGATGCACTGGTCCAGGTTCCAGGTTTCCCCGTCTGCGTACACCACCCCGTCAAACTCGCAGTGGGACATCGGAGTAGGTCCTATCATCGCAAAGCAAAAAAGAGAAATCCTTTCAGCAAAAAGAAACGTTATCTTCACACTGCGGTTAATACTTTGCTCTTCTGATCTTGCTTAACCCAACTCAAAATGCAAGCAGGGACCAATTTCACGACGCTGCTGCCACCATTCATTTCACGTGGGGGTAAGCGGAGCAATTCTAAAAAACACACAACCAAAACCTACCCATGCAAACAGGACAACACTGTCCCTTCTTGAGCACCGGTACCCTGCACTCCACCGGTGTGCAGACCTGGGAGTAGCAGGTGACCTCGCCATCTTGGCACGTACAGCTGGTGCAATCGTCTTCTTTCCACGAGGCGTCAGACTCGAAGAAGACGCCGCTGGCCATCTGGCAGCTGCTGGGAGGCCGGACGTCATCCGGCGTGGCTGACCCATTCAGGCTGTTGTCTGTAAATTAGTCACAATTTTTTGTCTCTCAAATGTTGGCATTTTGTATTGAAATGGTAGAAAATATTCCTGGAAAAGCTACTGCAGTGTTTGCTTTCAGATGCTTTCAATGACCGAGTATGAAAGAGTACCTATGATATTTAGCCAAATATACCTTTGGAAGCAAATAAAAAATGGGTGTGTAGAAGAAGGGACCTGTGATAATCTTTTGAAAAAAAAAAAGACTTAGAAATTGAAATCCAACGGTAGCCCAATCAAATATGAACCGACACAAGTGAAGACAAAACAGTTAATGAACATTCTGTCACATCTGCACCTTCCTATTTTGCAAACTCCAATCATCCTATTCCATTCAAACCTGACTGAAGTCTCAAACCAAAATGATTCAACTCATCCAAATCCCAACGAAACGCAACCAAACCCATCCTTACCCTACTCCTACCCACCTTTCCCCTACCTAACCTACCAAACCCAAAAACACCCCAACCCCTACCTAACCTATCCCATTTCTACCTGCCCAACCCCCAACCACACTTACCAAACCCAACCCAAAGTATCTCACTTCTACCCACCCAACCCGACCCAACCTACCCAAACCAAACCAAACCTTACCTAACTTAACCTAGCCTAACCTAACCAAACGAACCCAGCCCAACCCACCCCACACAACCCAGCCCAACCCACCCCAAACAAACCTAGCCCAAACAAACTGAACCCAAACCTACCAAACACAAACTTGGGTTACCCAACCCAACCTAACCCAACCCAATTTAATTCACCCCACCCGAACCCAACCAAACCCAACCCAATTCACCCCATCCCATCCCACCCCAACCCAACCCAACCTAACCCAAACAAACTGAACCCAAACCAACCAAACACAAACCTGGGTTACACAAACCTGGGTTACCCAACCCAACCCAACCCAACCCAATTCACCCCACCCCAACCCACCCCACCCCAACCCAACCCAACCTACCAGGACAAACAGGACAGCATCCTTCCTCTCCCATGACAGGCTGGTTGCAAGGCAGGGGAGGGCAGGCCGTTGTAGAACACAAGACCCTGCTCTCATGACAGACGCAGACCGTGCAGGAGTCTGCGTTCCACGTCTCCCCTTCGATATAATACTCCCCCCGGAGAGACTGACAGACTCGGTGGCTGACGGCGGGCTCTAGGCTTCCATTGTCCAATGAGTCTGCTGGATAAAAACAAAGAATGCAGTTACAACAGTGTTAAGGAAATTTCAAACTATAGTCTTCTTTAGGTCTGCTAACGACCAATGCTTGTAACAACAACAACAGGTTCTTATATAGCGCTTTTAACTAAGATCAAAGCGCTTTACATTATTATTACCCCTAATCATTGGGCCAATTAAACATTCCATATACCATCTCAGCTCCCTGGGGAGTATACAGCTCGATGCTGCCTGTTAGGAGCAAGGAAGCTAATTCAATCACAATAACCATCACTACCCTCATAGGTACCCATTTACTCCTGGGTGGAGAGAAGCAATGAGTGACAAAGTGCCTTGCTCAAGGGCACACGCACCATGACCCCGCCAGGACTCGAACCCACGACCTGCAGCTTTACCCACAGACCACGAATTAGTGCCCTTAACCACGAGGCCACAGCACAATACCGGCCAACCAAAGATGTATCTTGAATGAAATGAAAGCAGCAGCAATGGACTCGGAATTTTCAAGTGGAGGGGTACGGTAGTTGATGTTCTTGAAGTCAACATATAGAGATCAAAGACCTTATATGCAATAAACCAAGAGTTGTGTTCCTAATTTTGTGAGTTCTTTTTTTAAGAGGATCAACCAGTTTTTGTCGACATAAGTTTAATTTTTTTTGTAATTGGGAAGACAGAGTTAAATCTTGCAGAACTCCTTTTTTGCAGGAATTTTTTTTTTTTCCCCTTGCAGGAATTTTTTTGGGGGTACTTTTTAATCGTTTTTGTATTAATATTTTAAATTTGGAAGTATGCCAAATTCCCAATTACCCACTGAAAACAGGCATGCAACTTGGAAGAAAAAAAAACAAGGAAACGAAAATCTTTACAAGACTTTGTACAGTGTTTTTAAATTTTGAATGAAATAAGTGTGAAGTGAAAAACAAGGAAATCAGCTGATCTGAGAAGTTGCATGCCTGTGAAACGCCATTTCGGTGAGTGACCCAATTTTTTTGTTTCAGCTCACCTGGACATGTTGGGCAGCAGTCACCCTGTCTGATGGTTGGCTGGTTGCACTCCGGCACTGGGCAGGCAATCAGGGAGCACATCTCCTTGCCGTTGTGGCAGAAACATTCCCGGCAACCGTCATGCCAGATCTCACTGTCGTCATGGATACGACCGTCTAGTGTCAGGCAGGAGCCTAAGGTGACTGGGCGGAGAGTAGGCAGGGCGGTGCCTGAGGAATGGGAAGGTAAAATAAAAGTAAACAAACCTGATATCTTGGCTCAAATTAGTGCTCAGATACAATGCAATATCGTTGAGTCCGTGCAACAAGGTCGTATCTCCTAACATGGCGTGTGATGTCATGTACGTGAAACGTGAGTTTTCAAAGTCAAAAGGTTAATATCTCGCTTAAAAAACAAACCTGGATGTACACACAAAGTCAATGGACGTCGAGATACAACCTTGTTGCACGGAGTGTATTCGCGTGAGATACAACTTTGTTGCAGAATGGAGTTACAACCTTGTTGCACTGACACAACCATATGTGTATCAGGTCAAACATCATAGTTTATTCCTTTGGACTGAGACAATTTTGTACTCAGAGTGTTCAGTCATTACCAGGCCAAGTGCTAAGAGTATCAAATTATGAAGGCTGTTTCAATTAAGTATGAGGGAATCGCTACAGGAAACAAGCTGTTACTTAGGCACTTTTTAGAAATTGAAAAATTAAGCAATAAACTTCAGAATAAATGGACTGATTATATGATATGTGATTTAACTGGCATGGGCCGGTTGGAGCACATGAGGCAATGAGTGTACTCATTGGTTCAAACGTCACAAACAACTTGGACTTTATTACTCAAACTTTAGTCAAACAGGATTCTTGAAAAACATTTATGTGAAGATGTCTTAACCACTCGGCTGGTTGATTTCAATCTGAAAATGGATTCCGAGCACAAGTACCCCTCAAGAGTGAACGAGAGAGGGTTAGATTGTTCACGAATGCTGAACACTGCACACCCATACATGATATATGATAAGTTTCATGTGATTCCACGCTCAAGACACACAAACCGATGGCATCCATTATTCCTGCACACAGGCCATAGAAGTGGGGAGCACAGTCAATGCCATATGATGAAAAGTTGATTTCATCTGCGTTCAAATTTTCTTAACTCTTTCAGTGCCAAAGTCGTACATGTACGAGGTATATTTGTTAGTTCGAAATTGCCAACCTCGTACATGTACAAGGTAATGTTCGTACTTAAAATCGCCAAACTTCGTACATGTACGAGGTAAAGTAAGCGTGTTATCACAAGGGGGCGCTCTCGCTCTTTCTAATAATATAATTTTCATTCAGGTACGACCTGTATTTATTTGTTTCATTCGAGTTCTTGCGAGAGGGCGCAGCACGGACACTCGTATTTTCTGCAAAAAGTGCGGAATTCCCCTGTTTGCACGACAGTGTTTCAGGGTGTATCATTATGTATGAAAGTGACTACTATTGACTTTCCAATGTACCAAGGCTATACCAGAGAGCAACAACAACAAATTTAGTGAGAAAAACTTATTTACTTTTTTTTTTACAGAGTTTTGAACAATTAAAAAAAAAAACGCTCGAAGTTGGGCACTTTAGGGTTAAACTTTTCAAATTTCGCGGGCACTGAAAGAGTTAATTGCGTACAACAGTCACTGCTGAGGAAAGCAAATATACCTTTGCATTTACAGATCTCGCATCCCCTGTCGTCACGCTCCAGCCCGTGGGTGCACTGCTTGGCACAATCCAGCAAGGTGGGGCAGTTCTGGCACTTGCAGCGCAGGCAGCCGTTGCGGCTAGACTGGTAGCCATACAAGCACGTCTTGTCGCAGGGTTCGGAGTCTGGGCAGGCCTGCTTGCGCTGGCACTTGCACAGGCTGCAACCCCTCTCGTCCTTCCGGTAGCCCAGGGGGCAAAACTTGGGGCAGGTGGCCATCATGTCTGGGCAGGACTCTGGAGGGAAAAATTAAAAAGTGAGAGGAAATTGGAAACATGATGAAGTCAACTGCACAATAAAATTGATGGTTAACCAACGTGCAAATTCTGGGACTTTTTAAAATGGAAACACCTTAAAAAACAACTGATGTCTTACTTTTAAAAGCTCTAAAATTAAGTGGACTTTATGAATGGATTGTAAAAACTTCGACAGAATTTTTAGAAATGTTGGACATCTGCAACAAGCATTTCAGTTCTCGTTGTTTCTAGCCTGATGATCATCACGAGGCTAACATCCGTTTCAGATTTGCATTCCAAAGTAACACCACACAAAATAGCATAAGAAGCAACTCTGTGTAGACCCAAACAGAATTCAACACAACAGTCGAACCTCGATAAGAAGAGCACTGTTAATACATCGTCCTGCTTATAACAAGGACAATTTTGGGTCCAAAGTCTTTGTTTTTCTTTCTTTTTCATTACTGATAATACAAGGTACCCTGTTATAACAAGGTCATTTGTAAAGTCCCAAGGACCTTGTTATAATGGTGTTCGACTGTATATGGATTAATTTTCCACTGACTAGAATCTGGAGTCATTCTGAATAGCTGCAGTCAAGCTTTCGACATGGTTGCTCCTGTAGGTACTTAATTCAAATCTTTGGAATGATGTGGTTTGGCAAACTCTAAAACGCCAATCTGAAATGGGTGTTAGAGTGCTTTTATTCCAAACAATCAGCTTTGGAATGAGTGAATGATGCAGGGTCTCAGGAACACGCTGGACCAAGAAAGATTACCCATTTTCTGATCACCGACAGAAACAGCTTTTAACCAGGAAGATTCCTTTTAGATGTCTGATTGTTGAGGTTAAACTTGTGCCAGGGGTGTGAGTGGAGTCCAAAAAAAATAGCTGAAAATAGCTGAACCTGTAAAAAACCGAACCTGCGAGCGCAAAGCGCGAAGCCCTTACGGCGTGGGGTTCGGGGCCTGCCCAAGGGCCCCGGAAAATTTTTGAAATGTAGATGCTCTGTGGTGCATTTTAAAGCCCCCTGGCAATGCCTGGGCCAACTATTGGTCGAAAATGTTTTGCAATTTATGCATGTTTTTAAGTTAACTTTTCCTTCATATTGGCTTGAAACTGCCTAAATGGCCAACTTGTATATGAAAACTGGGAAATTCAACCACGTTTTCCATATTTTAACTCCTTACTGCAGATGATTGATACACATCGTCATCGCGTGTCCCGGGTTCTGATCGAGTCGCCTAATTTCTGCCCATTAACCATGTGTTCCATCCAAATCCATTTCCACGGATTCGTAACCTGAGGATCGGTCTTGTCAATGTCCGAATCAAACTCCGAACCTCTTGGGATAATAACACATTTGTGTTGCACTGACATCTTGCGGAATTAATGTCAAAATACGTTCGAAACATTTGAAACGACACACTAACGTACGTATCAGCATGCAGCGGAATACGCAGCAGGCCGATGCATGCATCTCATGCAATGAAATGCACACATGAACTTTGCCCCGCATGATGCCCTCTACCGGCCGCGGCGCGGCACGGCGACAATTTACTAATCTTATTTCAAGGCTTTATATTTGCAACAAGACGATGTTTACAGCGAGTTATTGTGGAGATCATCGCGTGTCACTACATGCATAGACACAGGAACGGCCGCAAAGAGTCCCAACGCGCTTCATGGCGCATGTGTGAATATTCATATTTATCTGCAGCCAATCACAGCGCAATGACTGTTGGTTCCCCGGATGCTGTTTACACGTTGTGTATACACGCGGCTTCGAGCTGAAAAATGCATGCACATGGCATCGTATAGTACACACGTACGTACGTAAATGTACATGTACATGTACATTGAATACTCGCTTGCACGCACCCCATCTCAGAGCTACGTATATGTTGTAGAGAGCGGATCGCGTGCGTTCGGCGGAAAATAAAATAAACGGAAATAAAATCAAAGCTTACGCGCGGGGGAAAAAGCGGGGGGAAATCTGGACCATCGGAAGAAAAAAAGCGGAAAACAAAATGTGGCACGCTGAACAAAAAAGCGGAAATCCGCTAAATAGCGGAGATTTCACACCCCTGTTGTGCATTTCAATGGATTTTTTTTTTTTGAAGATCAGGCCATACCTGTGTTGCATTCACATATCCTACAGCCATCACTGTCCATCTTAAGACCCAGCGGACACACCAGAGCACAGTCCAGGGCAGGGCAGACGATGGTGGGCGGAGTCACTGTCGTCAAAACACCAGGGGTTCCTGTCACCAGCAGAAAAAATAATAAATAAACAAATAAATAAAAATTTTAAAATACAGCATCGCTCTCTTTGTAAAAATAACCATCATTAATGATGGTGATCAGTTACCTGAACCTTTAGAAATTTGTATTTACAGAATTGAAATTTTGTAACAAAAAGCACAAATGATGTCCGCATATTCGCCAACCTGGTGATCAGGGCTTCATCCCTGCCTTCCGAATCAGAAGCCTTAAAACTTCCAAACCAGTTAGTAATACTTTTAACTTTTTCAGCTCATCACAAAGGATTTGATGTTCCTGAAGCAGAACATAGTATGTACTGGGCCGAGTCCCAAAAATCAGGGGCCTTAAATCTCCTGTAACCAAAGCCCAAGATGAAAAAGACATTTCTAAAACCTCCTATTTTCTCTGGGGTGCACCCCAGCATAAAACATTCCCATAGACACTGGCATTAAATCCCCATATATGTACTTCTTTTACAAATACTCAGAACTCTCACAGGTGTTCAGGCTGCACAGAAATATGATGATCAACAAGTCGTCTTTTATTGTCTTTTCAATTTTTGGTGGGTTGACCATTCATTTTTTTGAGAAATTCTCACCCAAAGAAGACCACCCCTAAAATGACTGATGTTTCCAGAACTGGTATAGGATCCATTTTGAAAAAGGATCCCTCCACAAATATAGCGCAACTTTCGGACCCAACTGCTTCCAAAATGTTCAGATTTGGAAGCCCCAAGTCCAGGCCAGAGGTACAGTGCCGAATATCTTCAATTCCTCCATTCCTTGGCTCTCAGAAATGTCTCATATAGAATAATTTGAGTGTATAACTTTTATTTATGAGCTCAGCAGATGGATTTTTTTGCCTATCTACTGGGGTATACCCTCAGGGGCTGCCACACAGTGCCCTCATTAGTCCATGCACAGAACCCATTACAAAGTGCACTCAAAGGCCATACCGGAAAGAAGATATTATACCAGTCTTAGCCAACAAAAAGCTGAATCAGACCCAGATTATGACTGGGGCCACACCCACCTTCGACACATTCACAGGTCATACAGCCACTGCCATCATGCTTGTAGCCATGGTTACATTGTAATGAACAGCTCATCTTGGGGCATTCCACTGATGAGATGGTGACAAATGTTGGCTCTGCCAAAAAAAATGCAATCACAATTTCAATTTTTACAATGTGTTTGTACATTGTATTTTATACCACCTGTTTTGGGTGACCCTCTATCTACAGTACATCTGAATAAATTGTGCTGATTAAGTTGTTGATCCCTCTGAACCACAAAACAAAAGCTTGCAAAATCAAAAGAATCTGAGATGGGAATGTAAACATCAGCAACCGTGGACCTAGGACAAAAGGATTAGGGCACAAACAAAAAGTCCACGATTGACCGAACGAACGTCCACGATTGAAATTCACGTACAAAACCAATGAGAGCTGTTGCTAAAAAGTACAAACAAAGGAATGAGGATAAGGCATTTATAGGAAGTCCACGATTGCCGGTGTTTACGAAGATGCGAGAGTTTGTGTGTGTTAATTGAAGAATTAAGCCTTACACTTCCATGATTACAAAGAATTTTTCCCTTGGAGTTGGGTACCTCCACAGTTGTAGCTTTTAGAGGAGCCAGTAGTCTCCAAAAGGGTTATTGAGAAAACCCTATTTTACAAGCATGACCTCGCAGCGACCTTAAATCCCTCACCTTCGCAGACAGGACAGCAGATCCCCGGCATCCTGCGCGCGTTCAGGCAGTTGGTGATACAGCTGGCGGTCTGGCACCTGATCTCCCCTTCCAGGCACTGGCAGCTTGTGCACTCGTCCTCGTCCCATCGCTCGCCGGGGGTGCGCAGACCGGTGTCCGTGTAGCACATTAGGAGGCTCTGCTCCGCGTAGCAGGCCTGAGTGATCTCGCAGTGGGCTGTCTGGTTCAGACAGGTGCAGACTCTGCAGTGGCCCACGTTCCAGGTGGCGCCCTCCATGAAGAGCATGTCCTCGTGGATGCAATTCTGCATGACTTCCACTGCAAAAGGGAGTAATCTCAGGTTAGATTGGAACATTTTCAAGGTGAAGTCAACAATAACAGTAAGTTTGCAGTTGCACTATGAAACAAAATCTCTTTCTTGACTTTAAGGTGTGGCTCAGAAAAGAACCAGCAGAAAATCAATGCTATGGATCATCATATGCGCTGCGTCGTCATCTGACTACGAGCAGAGCATACGTCTGTTCAAAATGTTGTGTTTCACACAAACTTAAAAAAGCAAAGATTTCAATCTCAAGTCCACAAAATTATGGAATCTGTGTATTACTAACCAGTGAAGGATGTGACGTTTCCACGTTTAAACAAAACATAAACAAATTTCTAAATACGTTTTCAAAATTTTCAAAATGTTTAAACGAAACCCGAATTTAAAAAAAAGGAATCAACGTTCACGCTATCTTCCTATTGAGTTAAAACATACATTGCACAAATAATTAACAATGTTTCCAAACCTATTTAATTTACCAAACCTTAGAAACACTGCAGTGCTTGATTATATTCGGGGTACACATAGCTAAGTTTTTGCTTTTTATTTTCAATGACTGCCTGTTATCTTATTATGTCAATCATTGTCGACTTATCCCGGCAATTACACCGGTCTGCAGCCATAATGGGCAGGCATTATCCTCTGTGAATGGCTAAACATTTACATGTAAGGCCAAAAAAAAAAATAGTCAGTCTCTGGTCAGACCGAATTTCCGGAATTGATGCGGCGACACGTTTTTTTATATATTTTTTGGCGGCTTTTTTTTTTTTCAAGCTTGTATTTTACAGACAAGGTGGGTACTATTTTGCTTTTTGTGTCCTCATTATACATTGGTGTCCTCCATAATTGCCTTGGTGCCCTTTATCATTTGCATTGGTGCAATTTCCCCATTCCTTGGTGCTCCTTGGTACAAAAATTTGAGGAGGCGCGGCAATAGAGGGTGCTGTTGTAGGTTCCGTGTTAATTTGAAGAGAAAAAAAAAGGTTGACGCGCATGATTAAAATCGACGCGCGCGCTGACCAGAGACCGAGTAATTTTTTTTTGGCCTTAACACAGTCACATCCTTACTAACCAGGCCCTAACCTACTCCCAAATAAACACAGATATAGCAGACACCCAGCTACAAGCTACGCATGAATTCGTGCACATCAATTATGTGTACTTGGCAGCATATGCACTTGAACTGGTTCGTGCACATAGTTGCGTACTGCACAATGGAGTTCTCCAGGTGGTCACGCAGCAGGGTCTACTATTCCTGATTGGTTTCCACAGCAATTTCCCAATGAAAACCATATATTGGTGAAAGGCCATCTTAATCAGAAAGGGCATGGCTACCCACAACTCATGACTGCACTTTCTGTGCTATTTTTATAAGATCAAAATTATGTTCACAGCTTGAGTTTTGCTGAGGTTTTCAGAACTAATAATCCCATTTCAAAAATTTAGTTTTTGACTGCTGGGTACGGAGAGAAACGTGCCGGGCCGTCTGTAGTTTCAGCGGGCGTCCTACGTGAACCCCGCTGGTAGCCTATTTAGAACTCCATCTCCGACCTATAGATAAATAATGTAATCATGTGAAATGGGGCAACATGGATGTATCCTACCTGCGACGCAGTCATATGTGTCGCAGCAGTGGCCCAGTTCAAGCGTCGCTGTGGCAACCCGCTTGGGGGAAAATGCAGGCCAACAGGTGGGCACCTCGCAGCTTTCTGGCACGCACTCGCACCTGTGTTAGGTCAAAGGTCAAAGAAAAGAGAAGAGAAGAAAATGAAAACAATGCATTAAAGACTACATGTAACTACCATGACTCCGTAACCCATAGTTACATGTAGCTTTCAATTAATAGAATTTAAGTGCATGCAAGTTGCGCTCCCCAGGCTATTATCAGGTTTCAGCCCCAAAAAATAATTTATTTAAAACTGCCACTCATCAAAATGTTTTCATCAAATGAAAAAAAATGTGCCCATGTTAGGTTTTGTAATAATTCCACATACCCGTACTTAAATAATTTAGTATTTTGTAACTTATGATAATCAGTATCTTTTGTGGATTTGAGGTGCAAAAGCAATCCAAAATTAAAAAAAAAAGATTTTTATCAGAGGGACGTACATCATGCCCAAATAAGAAGGAAAAACCTTTTGTTCACATTTAACATAGAAATTGAAAATTCCTTGAGGAAAAAACAAAACAAACAAATTTGTTGGTCTTAAACAACATTGGACAAAGTAAAACGGAGAATACATTTTGAAAATTGAAAATTCCTTGGAGAAAAAAACAAACAAATTTGTTGGTCTTAAACAACATTTGCATTGTACAAAGTAAAACGGAAAATAAATTTCGATTCAAAGTCACACATTTTGGAAAACTTATTTCATTAAAATTGTCAGCCCTTCATATCACGTAAAATGTGCAAGGACTCCCAGAAATAATATCCTACACATTTCCTCAGGCTCATTGCACGTATTGGGCTGCATGCAATGAACTTTTAAAGTCCCTTCTCTCTGCTAAACATGGACAGATGCCAACATGTATGTCGGTTTGTTTGAACAAGCAAGATAAATGAGTAACATTTGGCTGTCCTGAACTGGTCTCACGATCCTTTCTTAACAAAACTGTATGCACACTGGCTACAGATCATGATGCAACCCACGCATCATATGTTATCCTGGTTGGTCCGGATAATCAGGAACAATTGATGCTTTGCCTACGAGCATGCTTTACTTCCAACTGTGTTCAACCAAGCAAACACACAAAAAAGAAATTATTTTTATCCACAGGCAGAACAGCGTATTACTGTCCTCTCTGAACAAAAGGCATGTTTGAGTGAGAACCGTGTTTAAAGGTAGGGTAGATCGTTTGTCATTTGTGCATTTGTCATTTTTTTCATTTGAAGCAATAAATTAGAGCTCAAAATCTAAAGACGAGTTCTTAACAATGAACCTGATGAAATGTTAGTTCAGTGAATGCTGTATATTTCGAGAAAACAATATTCTAGGATCTCGATTTCAATTCAAAATTGCAGTCATATTTTGAAATGCGCCCGAAATCAGTGTCAGGGACATGTTCTCATTCAGCCGTGTGCGCTGTGTTAATGCTTGCGTGCACCCATACATGGATTCGCCCAATTACAAAAACCAACTGCCGATAGCAACTACCGTACTAATGGAAATTTCCAAAAATGCGTCACTTGACGCATCTTTTGAAATGGCCTTCTTTTACTGTTTTCTTCAAAATGACAGCATGCCGGAAGGAATAACGACACAGGGAGTTTAGTGTCATTACTATCTTTAAACCAAGAAAGTTTTTCAACAATAATTTTGTAAGTTACATTTTGGATAGCTGCAATTGATATACTCTACCTTTAACCATAGTTTGACTATCTTCGCTTAAACTCATGTCAGTCGACTATAGTTGGACTAGTCTAGTTGACTATTCCGGACCAGCCCACTGAGTTTTGTTGCATATTCACTGTTGACAATAGCCAAGCGCATTATAATGGAGCATTAGTTGACTAATGGTTGGTTTGTGATGTTACTAAAGGCCAGTTCATGTACTTCATGCGAAAGTGAAAGCGAAGCAAATTTCATGAGGTCAACAACTGAAGGTTCATCATGACGTTTGCCATTTCCCTAAGAAATTCGCTTCGTAATGGAATTCGCGTAATGGACAGTAGTTCCTTGCTGTGTATTATGATGCCTGTAGCCGTTGGTTCCAAAAAGTCGACTAGACTTGTCCATCATGGACTGCCTAGTGTTCAATGAGAGTTAGTCGAACTATGATTGCATATTGCTCCAATTGAACTTGTGCATGTATGGCAGGGGGCTAGGACCAAGAAGTTTAGTTAGGACATTTTGAGTATCAAACAGACTGTTGCATGTTCTGTTCTGCACAAATTACCCACTGGTCGAGCAATGGCCCTCTATGGAACTCACTCAATGCTGCCCCCTACAGTCTTTATATATTACCTGTTTGGTGTTGGGCAGCAACCGTCTGGCGTGAAACCACCCTGAATTAGTCTGGTACCCGGAGGGCAAACTGTTGGGTTGGTAGACACGGATGGACAGACAACTCCACTGCATGCTGGTAAGCTCTGCACATCTGCTGGCCAAAAAAAAAAAAAAAATTCAATGCAAAGCAAGGGCAAAAACCCACTTTTGATACATGTAGGCCTACGTGTTTAAAACAAAAACGCAGTCTTACAAAACAGTGATTGAATGCAGCACCCACAGCTAAATCAGATTTGGACCAGCCAGCTGATCCCTGCAAGCTTGGGAGGTCAGACATCTGCACGGATAAGCAGGAGGTCATTGGTTCGAGCCCCACCCAAGTAAGCTTGTAAATTCTTCTCAGAAGCCCTTGGACAACACTGAGGATACAGTGCTTTTGAACTTACGCTGATCTAGGGGCAATGCTCAACAGTGTTCTATTAAAAAAAAGAAAATTAACTTCCCTGCACATAAAACCATTGGAAAAGGGGCCACATGGTTTTGAAGAAGGGACATCACAGAAAAAAAGGAAGATGTTATTTCCTTGCAAGTACGCAACAACTTCTTGAGGAAACATTCCCCAAAATTCATGGCCTGTCATTACCTCTTTTGCCTCTGAAGAAGATCTTGTTAAGATCACAAAGTCAGGCCGTCTTTTTTTTCTTACTTGTCATTACAGATATAACACTCTGATGTCCTTGAAAGACCACCACAGAAATTAATTTGCTACGAGAGCCTTTATCTCCGCACAAACTCAACATAATATCCGCTATACATGTACTTCATTTTCCCCCAATTTGTAAATACTCCAGCATTGATAAGCCAATAAGTGGATCTTACAGAAGTTCATACTTCTAACATTGCTAAATATCCTGCCAACCTTTTAAAAATATTTATTTAAATATATTAAGCCGTGTCCGCACTGGACTTTTTTATTGGAAGGTTTTACCGAGACGATGGTAAAATGAGAAATGGTCAAATGTGACCACTGTCCGCACTTGGACTTTCGACACGGGAAAATTTACCCAGACCGCGTGGGAGAAGTAACCAAGCTGTCACAGTGTCAGTATAATGACTCACCGTACACAGAAAACAAATTGCCGATCACATTTTCAGCCGCCGATACGCACAGTAGTATTACACACGCCATTTGCATGCACAACATAATCGTTTACACGATATTATTTCATCTTGACAAGCAAAATCTTGACGAAAAGGCCTATAATTCTGACGCATTTGTGATGTACGTCGTCGAAGCCATGCCGTTGTACGATGTTCCGTGCGGCAGCAGTGCCATCAGTATTCGTTGGTTCCCATCGCATGCTTACAGAATCGAAGCTATGATGTGGGCCAGGAACCAGTGACTACGGCCTACGTACGGTACCGGACCATGATGTTCCGTGCATGACTACAGTAGCGTATCAGGACGAATTTGGATCGTAGAAAATAACATACATCGGTGGAGAAAGAGAATTTCCGCAAATGAATTCTCAGAACGTGATCTCTCTTCTCTTTGTATGTATTTGTCCGTTGAAATATATATTTTAACAAGATTTTACCGCTCGGACTTGATGATACACCGCAGCGTGTTTCTACAAAATGTTCGGCCACTGCACGTGCAGGTTCGTGCGATCTCTGTATGCATAACAGGGCGCTCGGGCTGGATGTACGCTTTCCTGAGCCGCTTTTACTGACTCGCACTGTCCGCACTGGACTTATCGTCTCGGGAAAAGTGACCTGGTCAGTTTTCCTGGGCGCGTGGGAAGTTTTCCTGGGCAGCAGTTGGCCAGTAAAAGTAACCGCTGGACTCAGGAAAAGTAACCGAGAGGAAAACGTCCTAAGCCCTGTCCGCACTGGACTTTTTTTGGTCAAACTAACCGAGACTATGGGTACTTTTCCCATTTTAAGTCCAGTGCGGACAGCCTAGGACGTTTTCCTCTCAGTTACTTTTCCTGAGTCCAGCGGTTACTTTTACTGGCCAACTGCTGCCCAGGAAAACTTCCCACGCGCCCAGGAAAACTGACCGAGTCGCTTTTCCCGAGACGATTAGTCCAGTGCGGACAGTGCGAGTCGGTAAAAGCGGCTCAGGAAAGCGTACATCCGGCCCAAGCGCCCTGTTATGCATACAGAGACCGCACGAACCTGCACGTGCAGTGGCCGAACATTTTGTAGAAACACGCTGCGGTGTATTATCAAGTCCGAGCGGTAAAATCTCGTTAAAATATATATTTCAACGGACAAATACATACACAGAGAAGAGAGATCACATTCTGAGAATTAATTTGCGGAAATTCTCTTTCTCCACCTATGTATTGTTATTTTCTACGATCCAAATTCGTCCTGATACGCTACTGTAGTCATACACGGAACATCATGGTCCGGTACCGTACGTAGGCCGTAGTCACTGGTTCCTGGCCCACATCATAGCTTCGATTCTGTAAGCATGCGATGGGAACCAACGAATACTGATGGCACTGCTGCCGCACGGAACATCGTACAGCGGCATGGCTTCGACGACGTGCATCACAAATGCGTCAGAATTATAGGCCCTTTCGTCAAGATTTAGCGTGTCAAGATGAAATAATATCGTGTAAACGATTATGTTATGCATGCAAATGGCGTGTGTAATATTACTGAGCGTATCGGTGGCTGAAAATGTGATCGGCAATTTGTTTTCTGCGTACGGTGAGTCATTATACTGACACTGTGACAGCTCGGTTACTTCTCCCACGCGGTCGGGGTAAAATTTCCCGTGTCGAAAGTCCAAATGCGGACAGTGGTCACATTTGACCATTTTTCATTTTACCGTCGTCTCGGTAAAACCTTCAAAAAAAAAAGTCCAGTGCGGACACGGCTCTAGGCTGTCCGCACTGGACTTAAAATGGGAAAAGTACCCATAGTCTCGGTTAGTTTGACCAAAAAAAGTCCAGTGCGGACAGGGCTTTAGATAAACTTGAGGTTTAGAAGTTCAAAAAAAGTTCATAATGAAATTTTTTTGAAAGTCATTCACAAATTACCAGTGTGCTATAAAAAGAAGCACACCTGTTTCTTTGATGATTGATATATTTGTGTGCAGTAATGCCGAAGATTATAAACATTTAGTAATGGCATTTCCCGTTGCCACAGGTGCATCTACCGGTATGCTGCATTAGGATTAGAGATAATGGTGACAAAGTACGTGTATCACAAGTGGAATTTCAAGCACGCACCAGAGCATTTTATATCTGTTAGGAAAGCACACAGCTATCGAAGATAACATTGCAATCATTCAGATCATTTCTTGCAAGGTTACTCAAATCTTTGGCACGGTATAACTATATCAACTTTATGTTTTTTTTTCAGTTGAGAGAAGAAATTGACTGGAATGGGTTTGAACCTGTAACCTCCGGATTGCCGTTCCGGTGCTCTACCAACTGAGCTATCCAGCTCTAAGTTGGCGGTTACCCAATTAGTCAATGTCTTTGTTCAAGGGGTGCTAGTCAGAAGCCATAAACCTTTATATGCCATGCAGCCAGGGATCACACCCAAAGTCACGATTCTAGCAACATTACCAATGCTGCAAACCTGGGAGATAGCAAACAGGGATCACTCAAGAGAGGATGCAAGTTTTAATTACAAATTTTCAAATTAACTGCAAAGGGACACTGACTAGGTGCACTATAATATTTTTTTAAAAGTTGAACAAAGAAATTGAATGGAGCGGGGTTTAAACCTGCAAACAGCAATCCGGAGGTCGCAGGTTCAAACCCCGCTCTAGTCAATTTCTTTTTCAACGTCAAAATGTATCATTAAATCTTTGCTTTACACCTGCACACCTTTAGGCTTGCATTCGTACTGATGACAGCAGCTTCCCGGCTGACCCGTAGCCACTCTCACCATGACCTTGTTGTACTCCTCGCCGCACATCATGTCGGGACAGGAGGCAAAGTCGCAGCGACAGGTGGCCGGTTGAGGGCAGCATTCCCCCGGCGGCTGCCGCGGCTCGATCTTCAGGCTGTCCGCCGGACAGGTGATGTCAAAGACGATCTTGCAGCGGGCGTTGGAGCAGTCGGTGACTTTGTCTGTCAACAGAGAAGCACACCCAAACAAATATTGAACTCTAGATGAATGCGTAACATACTCTCGCCAGGAAGTGATAATTAATGTGTGCAAAGAAAGAGCGGGAATCTGCTAATTTGGAATAATTCCACGACAGCCATTTTCTGAGGTGGCATCATGCTTGCAAGAGTCACGTTTAGGTAATACGCATGCACTCCAGGCGGCATCGACCAATAAGGTTACCAAAATGCATGTGTGTCGCGTCTTTAAGAACACATGCGGAATGTGCACGGAAGTGGCTCCACAGCAAAAATGGAGTCTACTTTTGTTCGCTGAATTAGTCTATTGCCACAAAAATGTATGTAACATTATTATTATTACCCCTGCTCAACAGGACTATAAAGTATTCCTCAGATCAACCGAGCTCCTTCAGGAGTAAGGCCAAAAAAAAAGGCTCCGGTTTCTCGTGTGCGTGCGCGTCGCTGTCGCTGCACCATTTGCAGTCATCAGCCGACATTTGAAGAAAAAAAAGTCAAAAAAAACAACAAGCCGCATCGCCGCACCACTTTTGGGGCAAGCTCCATATCAGAAACCGAAGACTTTTTTTTGGGTCTAAAGAGTTCTATGACTTTCAGAGCAACAGGACAATTTAAGTTTAACAAATTTAAGTTTAAGAAATTGTGTATTTGCTTCATCCCTGTCTAGAGAGATGGAACAACTGCCACATTGTATTGGTTAGGGACATTATATACCCTGATCTAACTGGCTAGACTCGAACCAACTATAAGTATACATCGACCATCATCATTATTCTTTTGACATATCAAAATTGACATATCAAAACTGAAAACAATGCTTAGCATCATTAGTTTAGTTCCAAACATAAATCAGCTGACAGCCAGTCAAAAGCAATAGAAAATGCATCACCACCTCAGTTGCCTAAAGGTTTTTTGCTATAAAGCAAATACTCTCTTTGTTATACTCTGGAATATTTTTCTGTGCCTGACATCTCTATGACCCAGACAACAATGACACGATGTACAATACATTCCACAAACATTGGACAATGCGCCACACAATGAAAATGAATAGTCTTGTGTTAATAATCAATTCCAACGTCAAAAGCTTCAGATTTTGAGATAAGAAACAACCGGAGACCACACCCAGACAAGCCCTAGACAATCTTGGCTACTTGATGCCTCAGGCAAACGAGCATCCCACATCTTGACCACAAGCAACAGGAACGGTGACAGTGCGAACAAAAGGACTTCCAAAAAAAATCTCGAGAGCTGTTATATTATGACATTCCTCGGCTATGAATACGATCCAGTTTGGTCTCTTCAATGTTCCCAAAAAGGAAAAGGATAACCGCAATCCAGTCGGTTCCATTTATATTTTCAGAATAAAATTCGGCTATAGGGGACAACCTGGAAGCATTCTTGACTCGCGGTTTGCAGATAACGATTGCCTCAGTCCACTCAGAGGATAGAATTCTCAACTTGTGAACTTCCTCAGGTGTCTAGTCACTGCCGGTGAAAATACCAAGTTTGATCCGAGCCAGATAAAAAAAGAAAATGATTCATGGTTGAAAGTACAGGTACACGCACATTTTATGTATCACTCAAGAACTCCTGAGCTACATTGTACAGTGTATGGACTGGGACATGTAAAAGAAGCAGCACAACAGCAGAATTGCTAAAACAGCATTCAATTTTATGGGACGATTGGGAGTTTGGGTAGGATTTCTTGTAAGGGGAAGGTTACATCCCTATGTGATCTTGATGCTCTCCAGTCTACAATGCTTGACTCATTAAATGGCTTTGCAATGCAAAGCAGTACCGGTATATCCTTCAACTTCAAGTTTGAATTGATCAATACCCAAACATGCACATTTTGTTTCTTTTATGTTCATTCTCATCACTTGTATTGACAGAAGTCTTGAACTTAGGCAAGTTTTTCTAGTCGGTGCAGTGTAGAGATAGAACCTGTCAAATTATGGAAAATCGTTAGAAGGAAAAACTTCACTGCCTCACTCCGACCATCCCCAAATATTTAAAGCATCTGAGGGTATGAGCCTATTTTCACAAAGTAAAGCACATTTCCTACGGGTACCGGCACTAAAAGATGGTTGTGCAAAAAAACATTGCCCATGTTTTTCCCTGTTTATAGTATCAAATAACAGGAAAGTGGATATTCCTTGGAAAAGTTGTTGAATGAGAATAAAATTGTCCCTTCCCTGTTTCCTCCCACAATGCATTTTGGCATCAGAGTTGCCAGCGCACTAGCGACTCTCTGGAATGCCCCTCATCAATGTGTCAATGGTAGCGTTTGGCAACATCAGAAATACTAGGCTATGCAGGCGCGGATCCAGGATTTCTTTAGACGGGGGGCACATCTTAGAGCATTTGTTCTGAGGACTAATGCGAGCGCGGAGCGCGAAGCCCTTACGGCGTGGGGTCCGGGGCCCGCTTAAGGGCCCCGGGAAATTTTGGATTCTAGATGCTCTGTGATGCAATCTGAGGCAATTCATGGCCCCTTTCCCCCTGAATTATTTGTGCAAAAGTTGATAATCTTGTAAGGATTTTTTTTTAAATATACTCTTGTTTTTACAAATGTTAAGCTACTGTGAACTTCAAAGTTGCAAACCATGTATTTTTGTCTTCATAATTTCTTGCATTGTATTAAAAAAAAAAAAAGGAATTGTATTGACTTAGATTGTAAACTGTTGCAACGGGCGATGCGCTAAGGCATTTGCTCCAAGGACTAATGCGAACGTGAAGCAGTGTCTTACGGCGTGGGGTTCGGGGCCCACTGAAGGGCCCCGGGAAATTTTTGATTCTATAGATGTTCTGTGGTGCAAACTGAGGCGATTCCTGGCCCCATTTCATCAAAATGTTGTGAAGATTATTATGATTTTTTTTTCATTATCGCTTCGGTTTGCGGTAACACCATGTTTTTTTTTTATTGTTTGTTCATTGGTTTGAAATTGTACTCTTGTATTTCTTAATACAAGCCTAGTTAAGTTTCTTCTGTTCTTCACTTGATAAGCAAGTATTTTTGAGTGCATAATCAATTTCTTGCATTTTATTTTTGTAAAGGAATTGGATAGGCTTAGATTGTAAACTGTTTTAAGGATGCGTCGGGAGATCTGCCCCGAGGACTAATAATGCGGAGCGCAATGTCTTTCGGCGTGGGGTCCGGGGCCCGCTTAAGGGCCCCGGGAATTTTTTTGATAATTAGATGCTCTGTGGTGCAATCTGAGGCGATATCTGGCCCCTCTTTCCCTGAGTTATTTGAGCAAAATGTTTTAAGTTAAATAAGGATTTTTTTCATTGGTTTAATATACATGTATACTCTTGCTTTAACAAGCCTTTTAAGTTTCTTCTGTTTTTCACTTGATAACCATTTTCGTTTGCATAATTGTTTTCGTGCATTTTTGAAACGGAATTGTATAGACTTAGTTTGTAAACTTTTGCAAGGATGCTTTCTAATGTTTTGTATCAAGTATAAATTTTCAGTTTATCAATAAGATAAGATTTTCTACGGACATTTTTTTACTGAAACGGACATGTTTTGGACTCCTTGGAAGCGCGTGGAAGAAATGCTGGCAAATTGTTATACGAAAACACACCCCTTGACCAATAGTGTGGTCCAAAGAGCAGCGTTCAACCACGGATCTGATCCGTGGTTCAACGTGTATGTCGCGCTCATCGCGCTAAACACAGCACATCGGCTGTCACACGTGCGTGTTTTTCGTACCGGTACGCACGCTCATAATGAATCGCATTTCATAACCCATATACCATGCAGGGTTACGTATGGATACGTACGGTGGGATCGCGGTTTACTTCGAAGCTTCTCGAGTCCCCTGTGTCATACGGCCAGTACACAATGTTTGCAGGCCACTGATGTTTAATATCGGCGCCGGCGTTTTTGTTAGAAGGTTGCCCTCCTCCTCTTTTTCCCCCCTGTTTTATTCATTTTTTTTTTTGTGGACTCAATTTGACGGGGGGCACGTGCCCCCGCGGCCCACCCCTGGATCCGCGCCTGCTATGGCTTCCTGAAGCCACTTTCCATAGACGCGTGAATTACCGGTACTGCCAGCTCTGGTTTAGTAATTCAGCTGCAGCCTCATCATACAGTCTCCTGGCTGCCATACATGTACATGTACATATGCCAGGTGCGTACACGAAGATGCTACGGGTTTGTGTACAGTCAGATGATAAAAATTATTTGTGCGTTTGTACTTCATGACTGTACATCAGCAGACACATGAATGCACGTGGTGTATTCTGCACATTGGGCTCTTGTGAGTGATCGCAAAGCATCATCTACACGTGCTGTTCCTTTATGAAGTCCAGAAGAGTTCAAGCAAAGTTCAGGTGTAAAGATCTTAACAAGATGGAATTGCAATAACAGGATAAGAAAGATTTTCAACTGACTAGTACGGAGTCAGAAACCATGTTCCGGACTCAGTCTTAAACCTGGCAATAACTGATGAAATAAAAACATGGACTAAAAAAAATTCTTCTGCCGAAAACAAGCCAAGTTTAAAAACTGATTGAAAATTACATTTTCCTCCACAATTTCACCCTATGTTAAGCTCCCACAAAGACTGAGTTATGAGTTCTAGGACTGATATGTGAGGACCCCTCTACCCTCAACCTCCCCCCCCCCTCTCCTGTGCCCTACAGCAACGAATCCTGACCGTGACCTTAAAATGGCCTTGCTATTTCTCCCCAGGATTAGCGACCCCGCTGAGGGCAAGAAACACAACAGAGATTTGGTCGGGGTAAATTAACACATCCCCATGTAATCCCTCAAAGCGCGAGGCATTCAGTCTCCCCACAGGAGGTGCTGTTTATATGGAGGTCTGCCTTGGTTCTCATGACTGGCTCTCTCATGACTAACTGCACAGGTTCTTTAAAAGAATGAAATACCTGCCCTGTCTATTTTTAACAGCACAAAAAAGTCAAGTCTGTTCACCAAAATAGATCCACGCCATCTTTCCAGACTAAATGCGTACCTGTTGTAAAAGTGACACTGCAACTGTTCCATTAACAGAGCCTGTCTGCTTTATGTACATGAAGGGTCAGATTTTAGACTATGGGGTCTAGACACGTTGTGTG